CCGATCAAACCCTTGCAGAACCCTTCTACATCCTTCCACAGCTTTTATATTATTCTTATTCTTATTCTTATTCTTATTCTTATTCTTATTATTATTGTTTTTATTGTTATTATTATTAGTATTATATTTTACTCTCCTGTAGCACCCTGATCCCATCACCCCACACGTTCGCAGCTCAATCTTTAAAAGGGCCCAGACAGGCAAACCTCGTTAGACACCGAAGGCCTCCGAGCTTCAGAAACCCTGAAGAGCCCTAAACCCGAAGCCCTGAACCCCAAACCGAGCCCCTGCCTAAACTTTAAACCCGAAGCCATGAACCCCAATCACTTGGAGACTGCTGAAACGCTCGAAATCGGACTAAACCCTAAACCCTAAATCCCCAAATCCTAACAGCAGCATCAGCGAAGAACCTCCCTAAACCTTAAAAACCCTACCTTAAACTACCAAACCCTACTTTTTTGTAGGTTCTTATTATAAACCCTAATATGGGATGTATAGTGACCCTACAAAAAAGTAGGTTTTGGTAGGTTAAGGTATATAAACCCTAAACCGTACAGCCCAACATCCCCAGGAGTGCTCCTCGCAGCCCGCTCCAGCTACTTTGCTGGCATGCTGGCCTTTCGAAGCTTGGTGGAACACACACGTTTTTGGTTTAGGGTTTAGGGGTTTTGGGTTTAGGGTTTAGGGGTTGCGTGGTATGTTGCAGTAACATGCAGTAGGCTACTATGTACCTGCAGCCTCTTCTCTTGCATGACTATTGGAAAAGGTTGCTTTTGGGCCGTGCTTGCAAAACGCGTGGAAGGAGGGGTTGCGAGCTCTTAGAGTTTTGGGAGCCCGAGGACATCAAGAGCATGTGCAGTATGGCTGCATTTGAAAGAACCTGCTGTAGAGGTCTGAAGAATCGCAGAAATATCTATTGCAACCCTTTAGTTTGCCATACTATAATCTACTCCAAAGCCCCACTCTTATTCCTAAGGCCGCTGTACTTGAAATGGGGCCTCCTGAGGTGTCCTGTCATATTATCCGTCAAATAAGAATGAATCGAGCTGATGGGATGTTCTTCTGCGGTGCTGCATGAGAGCAAATTAGATAGTAAGTTCATTTCTGCCCGAGACTTCTATAGCCAGTACCAAGTGCTCGTAGAATCGGAGCCCCTCAGAATGGCCACGCTCCACACAAACGCCCACGAAACCTTGGCGTTCAATACGGGCAGGCAGTATCATTCTTGAGGCTTCCTTGTTGTAACTTTGGATACGATATTCCACGCCCCCAGACCCACAACCTTAGTTCTGAGCAAAGCCTAAACCCTAAATCCTGAACACTAAGCCCGAAATCCTCCAAATCCTAAACCCTACTTAAAGGATCATGGGACTTAGTACTTAGGGTTATAAGTAAGGTAACTACAGCCATGATTGCTTATAGCCCCAATTAAGGTAATTACTTATATGCCTACTTGCTAAATCCCATGATCCTCAAAGTAAACCCTAAGCCCTTAAACCCTTATAGTACCCATAGAGATCCCTTAAGCGACCCTTAACCCCCTACTTTCTAAGTCCCATGATCCTTAAACCCTAAACCCTTATAGATATAGAACCCTTTAAGGAACCACTTAAGGACCCCTACTTACTAAGTCCCGTGATCCTCCATTCAAAGGGGAGGCCGGCCAGCGCGAAGTGCTTTTGCCGGTTCCATCTCGCGCTCTTGCATCCGTTTTGCGCCGGGTCCCCGGCAGTCCCCGCTGTTTTGTGTTTAGGGTTTAGGGTTTTGGAAAAAGTTATTGGCCTTCATGACCCAGAGGGTCCATGTATGTTACCATTATGGATCCCCAAAACCATAATGGATCCTATAATTCCATAATAGTAATGAATGTGGACCCTCTGGGTCATGGTTCTACAAGGGTTCAGGGTTTGGGGTTCGAGTTTTTGGTGTAAGGTTAATTAATACAAAGGCCTCAATAATTAGAATAAGGTTTTGGGGCTGGTGCGGACATGAGTCTGGTGCGAATGAATCTGGAGATGACTTGTGCATCCGTTGAACTTTCAGCTATCTTTGAGCTGACCTCCTAACTGAGTTTAGAGACGATATCATCAATGCGTTTAAGCATCGAGTCATATTGTAATGACCAATCGTCGAGAGTTTGTACAGAGAAATCCTTCGCTTGAGGACATCTACGAGTAATGTTACGCGGCTCAGAGGAGAAGTTCAACAACTTCTGACAGCACACACAGGCTTCCGATGCTTGCCATTTGGGCTCAAGTAAATGCGTGCGAAAGGTGTTTTCAAGAAGCTGATTTTGCTTGTATCTTTCAAGAACCTCCTTAAATTTAGTAATACGATTTTTCGCTGCTTTGAACCTTTTGATTGGACCGGGTTTGGTCGGCAGTGCTTTTCTGATTTCGTCCGAAGACAGATCAGTCCATCTTTCAAGAGCAATTTGCGTGACGCACTGAATCTGTTGAGAGACTCGATTATTAGAAATGTCGTCCTTGATTGTCCTAATTTGATGAATCCAAGGTATGGGAGCACCTTTCTTTTTAAATCTCGGGATCGGCCAATTCTCAGATAAGGGATTGCTCATAAGCATTGTTGCTTTAAGCCCTACCGCCTCACAAAAAGCAGCAGTTGCGATGCGAAGAACATGCTGATTAATGTTAGAGGCCATTCGAGTCTCAACTCGAAGTCTTTGGATGTTGTTCGCAGCCTCCTGAAGATCCCAATCTGGAATGAAGAACAAGTGTTCGGGGAAGGCCGTCTCATTAGGAAAGGCCGCCAGCCATTTATCTTGTCTGTCATTGAGGAAAGTCATGTTGTGCAATTCAGGATTTTGCTGCTGTGTTTGAAAGAGGAAAGAAGTGAGTACTCTTAATTTATAAGCAGCCATACCAATAAATTGGCATTGGCCCAAGAAATCAGCTTCAATTCCGCCATACTGCACAAACAGGGCAAGTGTTTGAGTCCAAGTGCGAATTTTGACAGCATCGTTGCAGTGATTATTGGTCCATTTTGCCCAAAAAGAGAAAATCAGCGCAAAATCTTTAACGGAACTACCCCATTTGTTCCATTCAGTGCGTGTGCTAGGGGGATTCCATTGCAAAGGAAGAGCTTGTGAAAGGCACATTTCCGTTTTTTGTCTGTTCTGCATCGGGAGAACCTCCCCGCAAATGTCATTTTGCTGATTTTCTTCAGGCGCAAATTGCTGATAGTTATCAGGGTCTCTGTTCATTTCCATCCACTGATACAAAAGTTGCGCAACAAGAAGTTGGAATTGATGCCATTTACCACGCGTGGATTCAGGGAGCAGATTAGAGCATATTAGGGCCGATTTAGCGCATTCCGGCCATTGACTGTTATCAAGAAGTTCCTGAGGCCAGGATCGTCTAAGCTCAGCGAACCGTGGGCATTCCCATATAATGTGTTTAATATTGCCTTCCTCATGAAGGCAATATTGACAGTGCGGAGTAGCTTTAATGCCCATCTTATGAAGCCTATACGGTGTAGCATGAGCGTCGGATAACATCCGGATGACTGGGTTCCTAAAAGGCGAGGACGGCTCTAAGCTTCGGAGCAATTTTGTGGTTGCCTGCAAATCGACATCTACGACTCCGTTCCATTTCGGATGTTTTTGTTCTAACTGCAGATAAAACCGCCTACGAATCTGCTCGCGAATAAAGTGTTCAAACTTCTTTTTGTCAGGCTCAGTGAGAAGTATACAATCATCATTACTGTTGCTGATAGCATCAACATCGGGTGAGAAGCGGCAGCAAAGCCAATCCAAGTCTCTTTGAAAGATGGTCATGGGACCGTAAAGATCGTGCTTAGAAGGAATTGATTGCTCGAGCATGTCTTTAAGCTGCTGTGCCAAAAACGGTGCTTGAATGAACACTTGTCTCCAAAACCTCATATTATGATACACCATAGCACTTTCCGGATCAAACAAATGTGTTTGTTCGCAGAAGACGCTATGCGCAGCTTGTGTTTGACATTTGCGTAGAGCTGTTGCCTCAAAGATTTTTGATTTCAAGTTTTCAATTTGTGCTTTAGTGGGCCTGACGACAGCACAGGGATAGCAAATGGCTGGTATGACTTTTCTGGCAACAATTGCAACAGCGTTGTCATGAGTAATGCGTGATCTGGTAATTTTGTTCAGCAGGACATAGCAGTCCTGCAGTATGGGACTGAAAAATTTGGAAACAGAAGTGTTCTTGAGAGGGAGTGGTATCCCAAGGTAAACGATCTGCTGCTGTCTTTTAACTTCGTAGCCATCAATCCACCAAAGATTATCAGATTCGGCATTATTCCCAAAAGCGACAGTTTTCGCTTCAGTCTTAAACTCAAAGGAACTATCCCAAAACTGTGTGATGTGGAAGGCGTGCTGTAATTGTTGTGAATTACTGCCTAGCATGAGGCGATCGTCCACGAAAACTTTGGCAAAAATTTCGTCGTGGGGTATTTCGTTAGCCCATGCTCCTAACATGGTAGCTGCCGCAAGCATACTCAAGGGATCACCTTGTGGAATGCCCAAAGTAGCCCTGAATCCATCTTTAGAAATAGACCCATTAAGCGAAGCAAATCTTTGAATGTTGGTAATCATGAATTGCCACGTTGCAACAACCGAAGCAGGAACACCAAGGTGGAGCAAGCTTTCGCACGCTTTGTCAATAGGGACATTATCGAAGAACTTTTCCGTGTCAATAGCAACCCCTTGAATAGTGGCTCGAATGAGTGGGTCAAGCCGCCATGTGGACTCACACATGAGCGCTGCAGGCAGCCATGCGTGATAGGCCGACCTTCCGCAAACACCTCCAACTGAGTGCTCAGAAATATTTTGTTGTGTTTCACGATACATAAGCAAAATGGTTTTGCAAAAAATCCTGTAACACACAGGTGTGATTGTCAAAGGCCTCAAATCTTTAACAGAAGTCTTACCCTGCTTTTTAGGTATGCAAGTCATTTTGCAATTAAGCCAGGCCAAGGGCACACGATGTTGCTGAATTGATTTATGAAAGATGTGCGCAAGAAAAAGCACCGCAGAGTAAGGCAACTGCTTGAGATGTGCTATTTCCAGCCCATCAAGTCCCGCGACTTTCGAGGCATCAGCTTTCGAAATAATAGTTTGAATGTGTTGATTGATATCCAAAACTTGTGCAGCATCATGACAATACTGGTATGGAGCTTGGTGCTGTTCCGGAGGGATCGCCTGATTGCTTTTGTAAACTTTCCCAAAGAAACTTGTAATTTCCTTAAGAGAATCATGCAAGCAGTTCGTGAAACCATCCTGTCCAAAATTTTCACTCGCAATGCAAGAGGGAATAGGCGGCGAAGGAGCACGAGCCCATTTAAAGAGATTCTTAGTCCAAGAATGTTGCGACTGTCCATTTTTCTGGATCTTTAGCCTCCACTTTTTTAGTTGGTTTTTGGAGATTTGCTGTAACTTGGACAAGATGCTCTTATGTTGCAGCCAATCCTGATTCTGGATGGCTTGTCCCAATTGATAATGCAACTTACTATTCTTAAATTGCTCACGCAATCGAAAGCGAGGTTGCAATCCAATGACGGCACCTGCATGATTGTGAATTTTCTGAAATGTTTGACACCACAGCTCCCAATCTTCATCGATGCTAGTGTCCGTAAGCTTCGAAGTGTGCATTGAGAGAGCATTTTGCCATTCATTTTCACAACTGTCATCAATTTTAAAATCCACTTGATGGTAAACTTCCCAAGTGGGTTTCTGTTGAAAGCTGTTGTGAATTGACGTGTGAACAAACGAATGCCCTTTGTCAAGGACCTCAGTAGCTTGAACCGGGGCTATTGATTCTTTGAGAAGGTCCGTCACGGCAATAATATCAATGCAGCTGGTGTTGCCATTGCTGTGCTTATAGGTAAAGAAGTCAAAGTTGGTGCTGCAAGTGAGTGGAAACCAGCTGGAGTCAAGACAACTCTGAACAAAATGACCGCTGCGCGAGTCAGCATTGATGTCCCCAAAAAGAATGCAGCTATGATGCGCATGATCTTCCAGCATGGGCAAAAGCTCGTCCAGGAATGGCGCGCTGTTTTGCGTGGGAGCATAAACATTAAAACAAGTAATCCATCTTTGTTGAATAAAGATCTTTACAGCGAGAAAACGACCTTTATGGATCCAGCAACTCATTTTGTCAATGCTAATCTCTTGTACAGGAATGTGTGAACGAATAGCAAAGGCAACTCCAGGAGTGGATTGGTCGAGATGTATCGACTTTTTGTTGTGACCTTGCTGTTTGTAATTAGGAAGTCCGCTAAAGTACAAGTTATAGCCATTTTGCTGAAATGTTGACCGTACGCTGGGCACAGAATCAGCACCGACACGAACTTCTTGGAGAGCAATAACATCGGCATTCAGAGCTATGACTTCATGCACATGCGGGGTAAGGGCATTAACGTTCCAAGTACCTAGAGACATTTTGGTGTTAACTTGATTGTCATGAATAGCACAAGTTGTACGATGGAAAGCCTCTTCCCACGATGAAGGGTAAGTCGAGTCGCAGTTGAGGCGATTATCTTGTTCAGAACCACCATTACAACACTCACCCCAACAACTAAAACAGAGACAGTGGGGGATGATGTTCCAAACAAAGGATTCATGCTTAATCCTTTGGTGGAACTGTGCGTTTCATGAATTTTGAAATGCGTTTACAGGGTTCGCTTGACTGGGATTTGCACCTCCAGCAAGATTTTGCGCAGTCAATGCTTGGATTTGCGATGTAAGATTTTGAATCTGCTGCATGAGTTGCTGGATAGTTTGCTGCTGCTCACTATTTTGTCTCATCATGTCATTAAGCTGCTGTTGCAAACCACTTGTATCCTTTTGTACTTTTTCGTCCTCCGAATCAGTCCATTCTTCGGAATCTATTTTCATGTCGGTGGCGACTTCAGGTCGCTGTCTCTTGCGAGCAGCATTATTAACTACATCAACAAAGGACATTTTCGACTGTTGAGTTTTGGGATGAAGTTTGCCAATGCGACATTGTGCACTCCATGAAGGAAAGTGTAACATGTTATTGTCGATCATTGGCTCAGCTGGTGCAACCTTAGGCTTACGAGCAGCCTCAATCTTGAGGGTGCGTCTCTCATATCCGAAGGTGATTGGAAACTGCCAAACCTTGGGTTCTTCGCTTGATCTAACCAACCACGTGTACCCAGCTTTTTTCCATCTTCTCTCACCGTCCTTGACCGTCGCTTTCCATTTAAGTTGCTGCAGAAGATCAACGATGTTCTCAGTTTCAATTTCGGGAGGAACATTGCTTATGAAGAAGGCAGGGTCCTCGTTTTTACCCAACTTGGATTTCATCTCAGCATGGTGCTCATTCAGCATTCTGAGGGCCCAAGTGCCACGAACTTTAAACGCTCCCAAATGCTTATCATCATTATTTTCAATGACCTCAAGGACCTCCTCATCTGTCATGGGGCGCCCTTCTTTTTTCAACCAAATATGCTGGAAATTGGCTCGCAAAGCTCCGGGCACATTAACTTGAAGTTTACCAGGCCCTGACATGGCAAGCAGGGATGACACTTGGGCGCTTGGAATCCTAACGGAAACTTGGTAAATGCGCTCATTGACATTTTGTTGAATTGTTTGCAAATTCCAAACATCAAGGATTTCAAGATTGCGGTTATGCTGGACCAATGAAGAGATCCACTGTTTCACTGCCGGAAGTCGTTTTTGCTCAATTTCAATTTGTGTTTGCGCGCAAGCTCCATTGTCGCTAAAAGTTAAATAACAGACGGAGCTTTTCGCAGTACTCGGCTTCTGAATGTTCACCGCGGGAGCAGTTTTTCTGTACTCAACGTCGAAGTAAGTAATTTGGTGAAGATACGCCTGCATTGAAATTTTTGTGTATGATCCCCTTGCCGTTTAAGAAATTCGACACAGATGATTTCAGGGTGTTTGACCCCTATCTCCATCGGGAACGGTGCGACAATGCCTATTGGGTAATTCCTGCCCACTCCTTGCTCCGCGATGCGTTTAGCCTGCTCTTCCTTTTCGCAAACATAAACTCCGCCGTGAGTGTTGGAAAACTCGGGAAGCGGCCGTACGTTCCATCCGTCCGGATCGAGCTCATAGGCAATGCTTTGTTGTCTGCCTTTGCCTTTAGCCTTGCCCTTATTCCCATGATTTTCATTGCTGGCATTGTCAGGTGACACACCCTTACCGGTATTTTTACCTTTCCCTTTGCCCTGACCCTTTTGATCCAGTTGCTGAAAGTCTCCACTGCCCTTTCCTTTTTGCTTAGTAAAAGACTTACCTTTGCCTTCAAAAGCTTTTCCTTTGGCAACTGACTTTTCATTATTGTGTTTTTGTTGGCTGCTGCTTGCAATGCTACTGGGATCATTCGTCGCATTGCTTTTGTCATTGTTAGTTGCTAATCCCATTCTTTGTGCAGCAGCGATAACACAACTCTGAAGCTGTTTTGCATCCGCAGTTCGTTCAATCTTTTTGCAGAATTTCAAATCCGAAATTAATAACATTCGAAGCTGCTTCGGAGCAAATCCGTGTTGCACAGGTTTGAGTTTTTGCACAAGTTTGCTGATGTCGGCTTTGTTGGGCTGGAACGCTGTCTCATTTGCAACACCACCAGACATCATATGACTCATGTCATCATTAGAGAAGGATTCAATTGGATCAGCTGATATACCCCAAATTAAGGATCGACTATTGTTGAATCCAAACATTCCGTCGGCATCGAACTCCGATCTGTCATAACAATCGGTGAAGTTGAAGCTACTGCCTTGTGACGCATAGGAGTTACGACTCTGCAAGGAAACATCTGAAATACAAGAAGATCCAATCTTAGACCCAATCGCATTTTCACTCAAACCCAAGTCTCTAGATGCATAATGGCTGCTGCCAGCTTGGGACGTCCTGATCGGTGAATGGTGTTTGCGTTTTCGGGATGAGGCTATGCCATGTTCCCTGCTTTCGTCGTCTTCGTTGTCGGACTTGCTGTTATAATGTTGCATCATAGACTCATTAGATGTGTCTATGTCTGTTGCAGCAATACTCTCAGAGCAATGTTCAATGTCACTAATGTCGGAATCAAAGATTTCGGGCCATGTGTGAGTGATGTCTGCCGCATCGCCTTCAATCTCATTTTTAAGTGAAGAAAGATCCCAAACCAACGATTCCGAATCAGAGGCACGAACATACTCATCACTATCAGTTGCATCGTGATCGTGGTCTCCTGCATCGACCAGATATCCTCGGATGGAGGTGGGTTTACTGTAAATAGGTTTACCAATCCGCACACCCATTAATTCACTATCAACCCAGTGATGGGCTCGATCAGGAACTGAAAAACCCAGCTGTGTCAACTGATGTCTAAGATTAGACTTGCAAGCATCAATCAGAATAAGGTTTTGGGGCCTATTATACTATATTTATAGTAAGGAACCCTAATACAAATATGGGTAATTATTTAGGCCCCTGTACTGTATTACGTTCCCTAACCCTAAACTGTGCTAAAACGAACTAAACCGTAGCACCTGGCATGAACACTGAAACTCCGAAATCCTAAATCCTAAACCCCAAACCCCTAACCCTTCCTACCTGTATCCCCAAACCCTACAAAATGGTAGGTTATGACCCCTTAGTTAGAGGGTCTAACCCTTAAAACGGAAGGTTTTTGGATCCACCGGTATGGGTCCTATAGCGGCTCTTGCAAGGTTTATCGGCTTTGGGGCTTCGGCTTGGGATATCTTACGGGTTTTACCTTAACCCCTGGATAGCCTTCCTTTGTAGGGCTCCGAGGGTTTAGGGTTTAGGGATTTCCTTACAGAAGTCCTTCAAGAGGTAGCTTATTCAGGGTCAAGGTAGGGTTTGGGTGCTTCGGAATGAGGGTGGGGTTCAAGTTTAAGATGTAAGGAGGGTTCCGGGTTGAGTGTTTCGGTAGTGTTTAGGCTTCTAAAGTCCCAGAACCCCGGGAGAATCCAAAAAGTAGATCCCTTAATGGGGGTTCCTCTAAAGTACCCTTATAGTAGTATAGGGCCCCAAATTAGGCGATCTACTTTCCAGATCCTCCCGGGGGTCTCGGGTTTCAATAGCTTAAGGTTTCAGGCGGTTTGTGGCATATGGGAGTTTCCGAAAATAGGGGACCCCAATGTAGTACCCTACATAGTAAGATCCTTGTTATAAGGACCCCCGAAATAAGGTACCTCTAATTTTCGGAAACTCCCATATGGGCTTAGACTGGGGATTGTTTGCAGGCACGGTTGCCAGGCAGTCTGCTGCTCTGGTAAGCAAGTGGCGAAACTTGCGAAGCCCTATAAGGGTCCATGTACTCATATAGTATATACATTGGCCTTAAAGTACTCACTATATAGGTACATTGGGCCCAAAGTATATACTATTTGGGTACATGGACCCTTAGGGGAAGGAACGTGCTCTTGCTGGTGGATGGAATTCACGTGGCATCGGAGCACGATGATCTCAATACTTCAGCCATCTTCTGCTTGGCAGAGTCTCTGCAAGATACGCTGGCGCACGAAGGCTGGTTCTCCATGCTTCCGATCTCGGCAACCCCTGATGAGGCATGGTGCAAGCGCCGCGGCTGTCTCAAGATGGCCGTCGTTGCGGACTTGTCTGCTCCCGCCAAGAGCGCCGGCGTCTCCCTCAAGTTAGGGCGGGGTGTTTGGCATACCGGCGTCGTGTCGTGTGTCCTGTTTCTGAGTATGCTCCTGTCGGTGCAGATTGTAAGCAGTGGAGAACCTAGGACTTGCGCGAATGGTGATTCGTCTCGCAACTCCGGGAGCACCCAGCAAACATAGTACTGCGACGACAGCGACGGCTCAGTGCTAGCTACCGCATTACGCCGTGGCTAATTTGAAGATGATCATAAGGTTTTGTTGTTGACTCTTGCTAGGGACATCGCTCATTTTAGACAGGATAACCTGAAGGTTCTGTGGGTGTTTGCAAGGCAGTGCAATATTTAGGACTTAGGGTTTGTGGTTGGGAATCTGAGTCATACAGCGAAAACCATTCGATGTCCCCGAAACCCAAACTGAAAGGGGAAAAGGAGGGACCCTTAATGGGGACCCCTACTCTATAATGGGCTATAGAACGGGTATATAATAGCTATATTATGTTAAGGGTGGCCTAGGGGTCCTTATTAAGGGTCCCTCCTTTTACTCTTGGACAAACCTGAAGCCCGAAAGACAAGCATGAGGCTTCGCCTACACGGACGACGCCCCGGAACTTCGAAGCTACGAGGATGGGACATTGAGAAGGGTATATATATATATATATAATGTAGGAACCTGATTAAGAAACCTTGGGCCTATAACCCCAAAATAGTAGGATTCGTAGAAGGAACCCTAATAAAGGCCCAAGTTTTCTTAATCAGGTTCCTACATTAACCCCTAAACCCCCAAACCCCTACTAACTTCTAAACCCCTATAGTACCCTTGTAGTACCCTTATGGATCCCTTTAAAGGAAACCTTATGGGGGGGCTATCTTAAATTCGTTGATCCTTCCTTACGGCTTAGGGGGTTTTCAGAGTCGCGAAAACTATGATCCGCTATCCAGAGGCGCCTACATGAGGGTCCCTTGCATTCAGAAGCCCCCCCCCCCCCCGCCCTAAACCCTGAACCCCTAAAGCCCTAAACCCCTAAACCCTAAACCCCTAAACCCCTAAACCCCTAAACCCGGAACCCTAAACCCCTAAACCCTAAACCCTAACCCCCCTTAGTTAAGTAACACGGAAACCATTTCTTCGCCCCTCTCCGGCGCCGGTGTTTTTAGGGATGAGGGCCTGAGGCTCTATAGGACTTTAGGTTCAGAATCTCAGTGTTCATACAGGTGTTACGGTTTAGCACAGTTTAGGGTTTTATTAGGAGACTTAGGGTCTTTTCCCCCGGAACGAGCAGCCTTACCGACACGATAGAACCTCGCATGCAACACTTTCGCCACACAACCCTCATTTCCAGACCCTTGCGGGGATGCAACAAATAGATCCCTTAAGCGAGTTCCGATAAAGCCTTTGTCATGGTTGGTAACATTTTACATATGTATGGGTAACCTAAACCCAATAAGGAATAACAAATACATGTTTAATCCTATCCCGACCATGAACTAGAAGCACCCTTTAGTAGTATAGGCTGCCAAATGAGGGGATCCACTTTTCAGATTTGGGGGGTCTGGGAAGGCCTGTCCTGCAGTGTGGATTTCGGGCTTAGGGTTTAGGGATGGATCGTCTGCGCTTTCGACTCTTTCCAACGGTAAAAGGAGGGATCCTTAATAAGGACCCCTAGGTATATACCCTTAATATAGCTATCATATACCCATTATATAGCCCATTATAGGGTAGGGGTCCCCATTAAGGGTCCCTCCTTTTCCCCTTTGACTCTTCAACTTTCAGACGAATCCTACTGCAACTGATGGAGCACGGTCTCCAGAAAGTATTCACTGCTGCACCGACGCCGTAGACTCGAAGCCCTAAGCCGTAAATCAGGCAAAGTTTAGTTTGGAAGCACAAAAGACAGGCAACTCAACAGAAAGATGTGAACACAGTGGAGTTGAATTCGAAGTCCTGATCCTAAACTACGAAGCCCTGTACCCCGACTTGCAAATCTGCGCAGCTTCCGTCGTATTGTCCTGTAGATTGTTTTCGTGGTTTAGGATGTTTTGCCGAGGGCAGACAAAGCCCACGACTCAGAAACTTGGTGCTTCGAAGATGAGAGTATATAGTGGCCTAACTAAATACCTATACTATTTTATTTTAAATATGAGCCCTAAAACTGGAACTACTATGGAGCCTTAGGGTAGGTCCTTGATGACAATTCTCGGTCGTTCCTTGCAGCACAACCTTGCATGTATCTGCATCATTGCCGGCTGTTTTGGCTTGCCATTGCACAAGATGTTTATGTGAGTCACGTGCTCACGGCCTACATGAAGGATCATGGGACTTAGTAAGTAGGGTTATAAGTACCTTAAGTATGGTTATATGTAATTATACATAACTGTAGATACCTTACCAATAACAACACTTACTAGGTCCTATGATCCTTTAAGTACCTTGTGCTCAACATGATACGTGTGATGAAGCTGTCAGGGGAAGAGTTGGCTGCATTCCCCGGCATGAAGACTGTGCAGAGATTGAAGCGCGAGATGCATAGTCTTCATGGCTTCCCGCTGTGTTTACAGCAGCTTGTAACGGACGGCCACGCCTTGGATGATGCAACGGAGCTGAATGCTCCCATTGATGTGCAGCTGGTATTGTTGCCTGCTTCCAGTGCGTCGCAGGAGCGGGTTGCCAATCAGCTAGTCGATGCGTCCTGCAAAGGCAAGGTTGAGACCCTGCGTTTTCTGTTTCGGGCCCGTGCCGATATGAACAGCTTCAACAGATCCGGAGACACAGCTCTCACAGGTGCAGCTCGATTTGGGCGGATTGAGGTCCTGCGGTTTCTTGTGAATGAGGCAAACGCGGAGCTGGACTTGGAAGACAGGGTCCCGGGACTCGCTCACGGTGGGAACACGGCTTTTCTGTGTGCATGCGAGAACGGCCATGCAGAGGTTGTGCGGTTCCTGCTAGAAGCGGGCGCTAGTACCGTGTGCAGGGGCAGCACGGGCGAGACAGCTCTGATGCGTGCATCCCGCGGTGGCCACGTTGAGGTTGTGCGACACTTGGTGGAAGCCCGTGCAGACCTCGACTTCAGGATCAGATCCGTACAAGCCTTACATTCAGGGAGCACAGCTCTCGTGTCTGCAGCTGCCAACGGCCACACTCAGACTGTGCAGTGCCTTTTGGAGGCCCGTGCAAACGTGGACTTGGCTAACAGTCGGGGAGAGACAGCTTTGATGTGTGCATGCGAGAACGGCCATGCAGAGGTTGTGCGGTTCCTGCTAGAAGCGGGCGCTAGTACTGTGTGCACGGGCTGCTCGGGCGAGTCAGCTCTGATGCGTGCATCCCGAGGTGGCCACGTTGAGGTTGTGCGACACTTGGTGGAAGCCCGTGCAGACCACGACTTCAGCCTCAGATCCGTACAATCCTTACATTCAGGGAGCACAGCTCTCGTGTTTGCAGCTGCCAACGGCCACACTCAGACTGTGCAGTGCCTTTTGGAGGCCCGTGCAAACGTGGACTTGGTTAACAGTCGGGGAGAGACATCTATGATGTGTGCATCTCAGAAAGGCCATGTTGCAGTTGAGCAGTTGCTAACAGAAGCCCATGCTGCAACGGGGGGGGCCCGGGGTTCCTAGCCAGCTTCTGGCGTCTCTTTGGAATTCCGTGCGGGCGGCGCAAGCCAATCAGCAGAGCCTACCTGCAATCTGCAGAAGGCAGGTAATATTTCGGCAACGGCGAAAGGCCGCATTAAGGTTGCGCCCCCCCACAGTTCGTACTGTTGTCGGACAACGATTGAAAAGACGGCTGCGCAGCATTGGCTAGAAACGACCATTCCTCGGTCGTTAGGATGCGGGATTGTGTTTTTGGAAGATGGTCCAAGCATAGAAGTATAGTGATGTTTCAGAAGCAACGTCAACAAGAAGCATCAAGTTTAATTATTCATACAGCTGCATGCAATGACAGGCGGGCATGTCATGATTGAGAACCCCCTCTGTCAAGGAAGAAGAACAAACTACTACAAGTGCCTTTGTGTTCACCTATACTATATCGGGGGTTCCTTATTGTAAGTATACAGTATGATATACCCCCAAACCCTATTCTAAATATTAAGGCCCCTATATTACCATGTCGTGCTCGTGATGTCTTACACAAGCCAGATGGGTGTCATGGACAAGGGTGCTACAGACCAAGCGATACAGCCGCAAGTGAGCTCTTGACCCCACTCACCCTCCTCCCGAATCATGAACCATGGACCTAACCTAATGTGCAGGCCCTGAAACCTACACTCGAAACTAAAGAAGCACCGTGTACCTAATTTAGGGGCCTAAATGATTACCAATTCTGTTCCTCGGGTTCCTTGTTGTAGTTATAGTATATTATGTACACCAAATCCATCCAAAGCCCTATTCTAAGTGTTAAGGCCCCCGCATAACACCCCACCAATCCGGAGCTTCGAGCTCCGGACTCGAAATCCTGAACCCTGCACCAAGCCTCCCAGCAAAAAGAATGCTTAACTCCGGTTAAGGGTTTAGGGTAGGATGGATGGGATTGAGGGTTGAGGGTGTTTGGTTTGAAGTCTAAGCGGGTTTGGAGTTGAGGGATTTGGGATTTAGCGGTTCAGGGTTGATTTCTCAACGAGCTTAGGGCAGTTTAAGGTTTCCGTGTTCCTTTGAGGTTAGGGTTTAGGGTTTATAAGGTTTATAGGGTTTTAGGGTTTAGGAATTCCTTTAGGGCCCAAACCATTTTCTAAGAAGACGCGAGTCCATTGTCGGATACCAAAAACGCTACTGCAGGGGCCTTAATGATTAGAATAGGGGGTTGGTGGTTCATTTTGTAATTATAGTGTAATAATATTATACACCCGAACCCTATTTTAATTATTAAGGACCCTACATTACCAAAGTCTGACCCCCGCCTCTGACAGATGTATCAAGGATCAAGTCCCCTGACCCCAGCCCTCTATGGCCCCTTGAAGCTCAAACAAAAAGTTCCCCCTCAAGACTAAGACGCCCTAATCAAGGAACATGCAGCATATCATAATAAGGATCCATGGATGATTTTTGGTAGAGTCCTTAAGCATGGTGTAGTTTTGCAGTCCCTCGGCCTAGAACCCTTTCTGAAGCCTCACCAAGCCTTCTGAAACTCTTAGAAACCCCCCCAAAAGTGCCGAAACTCTGAAGCCCCAAACCAGACCCCATAAACTCCTAAAGCCCAAAGAATCCTAACCCCTAAATAAACTCCAAAGGCTCTGAACGATAAACCCTCAAACTCTAAGCCCTAAACCCTGAAGCTTAGAAGCCCTAAAGCCCCAATCCCATAAACTCCCAAAAGCAGTCCAAACCCTAAATCCCTAAACTCCAAGCCCTCAAACCCTAATTTTTTTTAAAACTCCAAACCCTCAAACCCTAAATCCTAAACTGCAGAAACAAGCACCTGGAGGAAGCCGTGGAGCTCCTGGAAGCGGCGCAGCTTCATTCCTTTTCGGGGGTTAGGGTTTAGGGGTTTAGGGTTCCAAGTACCAATGTCGTAGCTACTTAGTAGGTGTTTGGGCCCCCAAAGTGTATACTGTAGTATTACTTGGACTCTTTGGGTAATATGCGTTTTGTTGAGTTCAGGATGGATGGGATTGAGGGTTGAGGGTGTTTGGTTTGAAGTCTAAGCGGGTTTGGAGTTGAGGGATTTGGGATTTAGCGGTTCAGGGTTGATTTCTCAACGAGCTTAGGGCAGTTTAAGGTAACTAAGTAGGGTTACAAGTAAGGCAGCTGTGGAAATACATATATATATATATATACACATAAATTTGTATTTGGTTTTCGTGTTCCTTTGTGGGTTTTGGGATTCCTTTAGGGCTCCAGGGTTCCTTTGAAGCCTCCTTTTCAGGGTTTGAGGTTGGGCTTAGGCTTTCCTTTAAGGGCTTTGTTTTTTTCGCACTGCCTATCACTGCTGCTGGAGTTCAATGAAGACCCCTGATCTTCAACATCTTCTGCCTGCATCCTGGTTTAGGGTTTAAATTAGGGTTTCGGGTTTAGGGGTTTAGGGTTTAGGGTTAGGGTTTAGTTTAAGGGCTTAGGGTTTAGGGTGTTATTCCGAAAGGGAGGTTGGTGAATCGTGGGTGTGCATATGCAACGGGCGGTGACCCAGCGCGTGGTTCCACAAGAAGCAACAGGGCTACCCAGTATGGGGCTGCACCTTGATGATGATGGTGGTGGTCGATTGGAAGGAGGAGGACGAGAATGATGATGGTGACGCCTGGTGATGATGATGATTTAGAAGCTGCCCCCACCCTGTAATAGTGGTATAATAGGAATATAATAGGGCCCTAATATAATGTTAATATAATCCTTATGGTCACTATTACAGGGTGGGGGCAGCTGCTAAATGATGACGATGATGATGATGATGATGGTGATTCTGTTGAAGAGAAAGGTGGTGAATGACAACCACGATGACCATGGTGGGGTTTGCTCGGGTTCCCTGCTGTCCTTGTAGATTCTGGAAGGGTTTGCTCGGATTCCGTGCCGTACTTGCAATTTCTCGTGGATGATCATGGTGGTGATGGTGATGATGATGGTGCTGCTCATGGCGCTGAAGAAGATGATGGTGATGGCGATCATGATGCTGATGATGCTGCTGATGATGATGATTATGACGGTGGTAATGATGATGATTATGAGGGTGGTCATGATGATGATGGCGTTGATGATATTGTTGTTGGTGGTAGTGGTGATAGTGGCGGTAATGTTTTTTTCATCACGGCTGTGTTTGGTGGTGTTGCTGTTGTCGTGATTGTCGTTGTCGTTGTGGTGGTTGCTGTTCTGGTTGGTGGTGTTGCTGTTGTTGTGTTTGTTGTTGTTGCTGTTGCTGCTGTTGCTGTCGTTTGGGGGACGGCGGCGGTGGGGGCGGCGTCGGTGTCGGCGGCGGGGACGGTTGCGGTGACGGTGGCGGTGATGGTGCTGGTGTGGCTGCTGCTGCTGCTGCTGTTGTCAGTATTGTCGTGGTAGTTATGATATCCATTGCTGTTGCTGTTCTAGCTGCAAAGCCATGTCGCTTCTGCTGCGTCCACTTGTTCTGGAATCGAACCCGAGTCATCACGCACATGAACGGTGGTGTTGATGCTGGCGAGAACGATGAAAGACCTCGATGTGATGATTATTCTGGTGGTGGAAAGAAAATGTAATGATATTGACTAAACCCGAGGAGAAGTGGTAATTACAAGTTCTCGTCATGCAGCTATGCACCTCCGAGGCTGCTTCCCAGCTGAGCTTCGCGGGTTTGCAGCGGCATTGCAGCGACTACCTCCGCAACTTGCCTTCAAGAACAACGTCTCCTTCTAGTTTCTAGTAGTAGAGTCGAGTCTATAACCTTGAACCTATTTGGGGGGCTTTGACCCCTACACAATCCCAAAGGTTAAGCTTTACTTCCAGAGAATACTGGAGACGCCCACGAAGGATCCAACACAGAGAGATTGCGAGGTTCGACGGAATTCAGGTCTTCGAAGGCCTCACAGATGAATTGTGGAGAGATGTAGTTATAATTATGAGACTCGTGCTGCATTCTGTGAACTGTGAACCGAACCTTAAATCCTAAATGAACTCAAAAGCCTCAGTAATTACTCATCATTTTTCCTCAGGGTTCCTTGTTATGTTTATAGTATGGCATGCCCCAAAACCCTATTCTAATTATTAAGGCCCCTATACTAAATGCTTCTAATAGCCCTTATGGTTAGTAGCCCTTACAGACCCCTTTAATACTTTAAAGGGAGCCTTTAGAGGAGCTCTATTCAAACCAATAAGGCCCCCGGTTACCTTGAACTGTAGCCCCTTTATAAATCCGTTTAAGGAACATTCCTTAAATCATACTCGTGTGCCTACTATAATTTAAGGCATACTCCTTTATTTACTGTAAGGGACATTGGAGTCTCTGGTACCCCGAACTGTAGCCTGGATAAATCCGTCCTCCGCTGCAGGGGACACTTGGCTGACTTTGGAAAACGTTCTGCAGCTTCTTCGAGTGGCAGATCAGCATGGTGCCTCGCCATGGGAATGACTACTTGGAGGACCATGAGACTTAGTAAGTAGGGTTAGAAGTACCTTAATTCGGGTTACAAGTAATCATAACTGTAGTTACCTTACTTATAACCCCAATTACTAAATCCCATGATCCTTTAAGTATCGGAGTTTTGGGTTTAGTTAGGGTCTAAGGCTTCTCGGATTCAGGCTTTCTCTACGTTTCGGAAGTTTCGGAAACTTCGGAAATTTCGCCACCCTAACCCTAAACCCTAAACCCAAACCGAAAGCGATGAAAAGCAGAGGGGTTTGATGGTTTTCTGCAGGGTTTCTCGGCTCTTGAAGCTCCATCCGCCCAGGCCCAGGCCCCTAGCGCGCCGCACCCATGATCCATCCCTAGGGATCATAATAGTGCAAAAGCCTTATATAGTCTGGTCTTTGGGCCCACAAGCCTTAATATCTGACTCCTCAGATCTCTAGGGAGAGAGAGAGAGAGAGAGAGAGAGAGAGAGAGAGAGAGAGAGAGAGAGAGAGAGAGAGAGAGAGAGAGAGAGAGAGAGAGAGAGAGAGAGACAGAGAGAGATAGAGAGAGATAGAGAACAAGAAGAACATAAGCATATTAATGGAAACACCCACCCACCCAGCCACCCAGCCACCCAGCCACCCAGCCACCCAGCCACCCAGCCACCCAGCCACCCAGCCACCCACCCACCCAGCCACCCACCCACCCACCCACCCACGCAGCCACACACGCAGCCACACACGCAGCCACACACACACACACACACGCACACACACGCACACACGCACACACAGACAGACAGACAGACAGACACAGACAGACACAGACAGACACAGACAGACACAGACAGACACAGACAGACACAGACAGACACAGACACACACACACACACACAGACACACACACACACACACACACACACACACCTACCTACACCTACAAAAAGCAAGGCGCTACGTCCTTGAGGCAGGAGTGCTGATGCGGGGGTTCCTCAGAATTCGGGCCCTGGTGAGGATGTTTTGTAATTAGTATTTGGTGTCGATCCGTGAGGTCCTTTATGAGAGCTCTTGAACTCTCATGCCTTGGATTTAGGTTTTCCTTTTCGGGTTAACTCAGCCCAGCCCTGACCCGAAACCCCAATCCTCAAACCCGATAAGCCCCACGCCGCCAGCCCCTGAACAAAACCTCCACCCTTTCCTAAGCCCTGGTTCCTAAACGCCAGTCCAAAACCTTATGTGTGTGTATATATATATATATACTACATACATATATATATACATACATATACATATACACACATCCTAAATCTTGGTCCCCAAACCCCGGCTCAACCCGGTAGATAGACGGCCTCTCTCTTGCAGCTCTGCGTAAATGAAGCTTTTTGGTGGTTGCCACAAATCCCGGACAGCAAGCCGCCTCAGGCCCGCAATCCTCAGCAAGTTGGAAGATAGAATTATGAGAAGAATTGAGGAACATGGGACTTAGTAAGTGGGGTTATAAGTAAGGTAACTACAGTTATACTTACTTGAAACCCGAATTAAGGTACTTATAACCCTACTTACTAAGTTCCATGGCCCTAAACCCTAAACCTTTATTGTACCGATATAGATCCCTTTCAGGGACCACTCTAAACGCGCTCAAGTCATAATATTAAGGCCCCTATAATTTAGGGTATATTCCTTAATTAAGGGGTATTGGGTTCTCTGGGGAAAATGTTCCGCCATGTCCCAAAGGCTGGTCTTCCGGTGCCCCACAGATGAAGAGCTGCAGACCATCCGCGATCCCCAAACCCTAAAAATGCCGCAAGCAATAAAGAGTACCTTTACCTGGACCCCCCCAACTACCCTCTATTCTACCCCAAACACCCACTATTGAGGACCATAAGGGCTCCATTAAAGGGCCATTGGGGGGGTCCTGGTATAGGGACTACTTTAAGGCCAGTGTATATATTATCTGGGCACATGGACCCTAGGGGAAAGATGAAGATGCTTTGCTTTCCATGCTGCGGAGGGCTGAAGCCTTGGCCGTGATCGCCGCCAACTTCGACGCAGTGAAGAAGACGGAGCCCTGGGAGGCTCGCCTTGGGTTTTTCTTGTTCTTCAGGTGTTGCTTGGGGGTCATGGGACTTAGTAAGTATAGGGTTATAAGTACCTTCATTGGGGTTATGAGTAATCCTAACTGTAGTTACTTTATAAGGAAACCATAGTAAGGAACCCTAAAAGGGTAGGTTATTCAGGGTTAAGGTAGGGTTTAGGGTTTAGGGGTTAGGGGTGCTTGCAGGGCTGTAGGGTTCCTTCCGTGGTTTAGGGTTTTTAGGGTCCCTGAAGCCTCGTCCGGAGCTTTGTCACTAAGCTTTCTAACGTCGGGGCCGTAGTCGTACCCAGAGGCTCCAAAGTAGTTCCTTTTTGGATTACCTGTATAGGATTCTAAATATGAAACCTAAAGAGGAACTACTATGGAGCCCTAGGGTAGTGATTAGAAAGGTTTTGGGGTCTGCGAGTGTGCTGCACGCGACGATGCCGGCGATTTTGACGGTGGTACTTGAGCTGAACCCTACTTGGAGGGGCAGGGGACTTAGTAAGTAGGTTATAAGTAGAGTTATAAGTACCCTAAGTGGAGTTACCCCAATTATAACTCACTTAATTATGACCTACTACCAAGTCCCCTGCCTTTCCAAGTAGCTGTGCAAAGATGTTGTCGGAGGCCCAGGACGGACTGGGCTGTTTGGTGCAGGCTTGCACAAGGCACCAATTCGCAGTTGTGAGTTCACAGTTAGTCAATGTCTAGGTGGGGGCGCTTAGCAGTCGAGAGTCGAGAGTGTTCTTTTCATGCATGTGTTCTAGATTCTGGATGGCTTAGGCGCCGCCGGAACCTCCCCTTCAGTTTACTTGGTGGCACGGCTCCGGCTCAGGGTTTACGATTTCTTTGACATCGCGTGAGAGGTGTTGTTTTCTCTAGTGTCTTCGGGACCAGATATGCCTACGGTGGGGTGGTCGTGTGAGGCTTGGCCATCCGACAGTCGGCAACCCTAGGCAGTAAGCTTCACAGTTTTACCTGTAGCCGACAGCCACGGATAAGGCAGATCTTCCTTTCATACACCATGTTCTATCACAGTCTATCCTTTCTCCACCCCTGTGATAGTGATAGGAATCGGGTATTGAAAGTCATAGCGGTTCCATGTGGGAAAGGATATGCAAAGTTGTTCATTATTGAGTGTCGAGGTTGATTTTTCGTGTTGGGGACTGGAGGAGGGTAGGTTCTGGCATCCACGGTTCAGTGTTCCGTAGTCGGGCATTGAGGGCAATGGGCCTGCCTTGCAGGAATTCCTGCAGACCGGCATGAACCCCATGCTGATTCAGGACTCTCTCGCATGGAGAGGCTTTGAAACCTTAAGAACTAATATAGGTATTTTACACAATTGGGCTATGCTATGTTGGTACTCCCTAGAAGTACAAGCGAATGTCTCTACTCAGACCTGCACAGCGGCCTGGAACCTCAAACTTCACTGCTTTTTGTTGCAGAATCTTCTCATTGTTGTTTGTGCGTGATGCATTGCCACTTACTAGCGCAGTTTGCCACTCATGCGCGCCTGACCAACACATTAACACATGCTGCGCCATAAATTGCGGTTTGCCACTTCTCCTCAGGTCAACAGCTCCCATAAACTTTCCGAAGCGCTGCCGTGAGATTATGGACATTCGTGTCTCAGCTATTGAACACGTAATGATGGTACATATAATACTATGTGTTAAGAAAGGTCGAACCGTCTTTGAGCGCCTCCTGGATGCTGACATTATCACAGACCATCTGAGCGACGACTGGAGTCTCTCATCTAATTGCAGTATTCCTGCTCCTCTCTAATACATATGTCTGGAGCAACCTTTCGCCTATATAAGGCAATGTTTTCATCGCAAAGATCATCCAGCGAATGCCGGATCCTTACAAAGCACCGTCCTAAATTTCTGATCACATGGCTCTGCGTTTCAACATAACACAGGTACATCGCCGTGCAGAACTACATGGCTCCGTCCGCACACCTCCCTCCCGCGGAAACTACGTTCGACTTCGCTTACTACAAGGAGTATGTGGATGCAGGACATCTCATGCTAGGAACCTCGTATATGGAGAGGTTGACTCCGTGCCATGCAGCCTTGCATTGAAATCTACATCGCTAGGACGCAGCCATCTGCAAAGCGCTGTGTTCTTTTCGGAGGTTGATCCCATCTCGACCAGCCCTGCAGGTTCTTCACACTTCATGTATGTTTTGCCGATTGCATGCATGCCCGTTAGCTCTGCGGCGTCTGCGTATAACAGGCAACGATGTGATGGGAGCCATCATGCGGCGCATGACCCTGGAGTCCAACACGTCCGTCGAGCGCCGTGCCCTTTCCGCGCTCTGAATGCGCAGTAGACCGCTACCAAAGTTCATGTGGTAGTTGCCAACATTCCATAATCAAGCTACCGTGCAGGTACCAATGTGCACTTTGGCATCCGAACGGATATCACGGACGAGAATATCTGGCATTTCGATCCGTTCCCTTGCGTCTTGACTTATTTACAACATAACATGAAGCGGCATACACATACACTAGATCTCAGTTCAACGTGATCAGGGGATGCCTACGTGCGAAAAAAGAGACCGGCAACCGCCGGCATCGCAATCTGCTCTGAGTGGAAGCCGAAAGGGCAAAGGACTTTTGCATGTGTACACCCCTACCTGTCGGTAAGTGTATGTACGGATAAATTCATATGAACATCAAATATTCGCAGGAATCATGGGCCGAAGAAGATCAAACTCCCGTGGGTGCTGGAGAGAAGGCTTGTTGTCTTGTATATCACTCTGGCTACCGTCCAACGCACAGATACTCGTGATCTGTCTCTACTTGTCAGGCCTTGCGAGAACTGGTACTATGCGAGAGGATCCAAAACAACTTCCTCAAGTCTCCCGCCTCCCAACACACGCTCCTCAGCTGCATACTTATAATGAGTTACAGGAAAATCGTGAAGCGCATTCAGCGCATGCAATGCGAGGTGAATACGCTCTCTGCGTACTCGCCCAACTTAACATAGTAAATAAGTGATGCGCAAACACATTGGCGTAAGACATGTCAGAACCACAAGCACCACAAAGGTGAATGGCATGCCGACACGTGTTTGGTGGACTCCCTGCGAGCTCTGGGTTTCGCATTAATTATCGTATACATCCAATGGACGACACTACGCGGTGAAACATGGATCGGCAATGCTATCTCGGCTTGGGTTGCTTTTCTAAACTAGTAGTGCAAGGCCATATCGCACGATGTCGAAGATACTCTAAATACCCAATACTCACAACCAGTCTCAGGTACTGTGTCCGTCCGACCACATCCATCGACTTGCGTCAGAGTGGACGTTATCTTCTTGCTGCAGAAGGGCATTTCATTGGTTTGCGAGTGCATTCCGATGGCATCATGGAGCTGAAAGCTAACGTGCACTCGGATCCTGTGGAGATACTAGTAGCAGAACTGTTGGACATGCCGCTTGAAGCCGCCTTCAATATTTGCAAGATTGGAACATCTCTCGCGTGTGCTGCTGCATGCAAGACAGACTGCGGCTGCTCCTCTGCGCCTGACTTGACAGAGTCAGACTTGCCGTCTCGTTCCAATGTCATATCGCTTGACATTCCAAACATCTTGGTTGATTACCTCGGAGGCGCAGTTTCCCGCGCCCCGTCCATTCATATCATGAGAAGTGTGTACACCAAAGCATCGCCTATTACACTACGCTATACTAAGGGGACGAGTACATGCGTAGTGGAGTTCCGACCACGGCCCAGCAGACAGCCTCCTGGCTGCGATAGTAGCAGTTCTCACAGTGCATACCACAAATGTCTTGCCACTCCTGCAAATTTAGCTGAGGAACGGGAGGCGGTAGCCGAACCTGCGGAGGCTTCTTCAGTCAGCGCCTTTTGTAGTTGGGGCTTTGCAGGGGGGGTGCGAGACAATCCTTTCGCTAAGGACATGAACAACGCGAAACGGCGGGGCCCTCGGTTGCTCTCTTTTTTCCATCTTTTCTCCATGGGCAGATGTGAATGCTTCTAGTTTCAACAGGTGTGGGGTCGGTTTGTTGGCTGACTATCATGCCAGTCGAACCAAACCTGGCAGGACAGGAGGGCCGGCGTGCGCTGCGCGATCGAAGGCCAAGGCCAAGGCGAGACATTTTGAATTGCAAGCAAACGTTGCTTCGCGCGCGCGCGCGGGCTGGCTTGAGGCGCAGGGAGCTCTGCGCGTTTCGTCTCCGCCTTAGAAACCTTTGTTGCAGAAAATGTTTTTCTTGGGGTTTTGTTGCGCGTGCTTGTTCTTTTCATACGAGTTTGAGCCTAATTAGGCCGGACCAAGAGCGTCGGGACCAAGAGCGTCGCCAATGTCTGAACGAGTCTCAGGAGTATCCATGTGGGGTTGCAGTTGTTTTTTGCGCTCATCCTGGCGTGGTCTAAGGGGGTGCTTGCAGGCGCGTCCAGCTTTTTTGTAAAAGCGTTGTCAAGGAAAGGTTTTGCTGATGCAACTCATCACCAGGATGCCAGAACGAAGCGCAAGGCGCAGCAGGAGGATGATGAGGAGCTGGGCCTGCGCTTTCTTTTAGATTGGTCTATGCCTGTGTGCACGCGGGTGTCTGAATGCATCCGCTTGGGACTCTGTTTACGCGGCGCCCCCGTCTGTAGTTGCCGTTATGTGGTTGGTGTCTGGGAGGAATTCTTGTCTTGAGGAGATGAACAAGCAGAAGCACAGTGAAAACGGCAACACAGCCAGGATCTTAAATCCTCAGCAGATGACTGAAGGGAGAGGAAGAGTAGTAGTTGTCTAGGAGAGTCTAGGCAGAAGAGGGGCAGTGTCCTGTGCGATGGGAACTCTGGGGGTATACAAGCCACACATGTTAGAGCAGGTCCGTCCTGCTGACCAGCCTCAGTCTCAGAAGAGGTTTGCTCAAGCATAGGGTAGCAGTGCGTGAGCTAGAGTCCTGCTCAGGAGTCACGAGCAAGTGTTTCGGCTGCAATGTTCACTTTAGACATACCTTACCCGCATGCATATACGCTTTCAGTTGTTGGGGAGATCTGCAGGTCCAAGCTGGTGAGGCTGACGCACCCCCGCCAGCTCCCCTTGCGGCGAAGCGGATCCGCTTGCTGGCGTGTGGGCCTTACAATAGATGCGCGTGCTACCTCGCTGCTGAATCTGAATAGGTTCATGTTCTTGCAGGTCAGCTTCTGCTGCTCCCCTTAACCGTGAAACATCGCAGGTTCGTTTGCCTCTTCTTGCCTGCTCAGCATGTAGCTGCAGTTATGCAGTCATGTTGCGCCAGGTGCTGCAAAGCCTGGAGGGACTTGTGGCCTCGCAGGACAGCAACACGTGCGTGATTTTCAAACCTGGGAAACTTTTGTCATGAGGTGTTGGGTGTAGGGCCAAAGAAGACGCGCGTAAACAAGCGCGGAGAAAGGGGTTAACCCTTCTGGAAGTTCCTTCGAAGCTCCTGAAATCCTTAGCCCGGACGGCTCTGTTCACGAAGTTTGATGCTGATGCTGCGTGATTTCAACGCATGACGGTGAGTGAGAATGCTGGTTCCATATAGGTGTGCCAGATCGACATCAAGAATGGCGTGCCTGTAAAACTTGATGAACAGGAAGGAGGTTCCGTATGAAAAGGGGGAAGGATCATGCGCAGCTACATCAGACCAATGATGCAGCACGAGGAGGAGATGATGGTGAGGTGATATGATAACCCCGCCAGCCACCGCAACCGGGCCCAGAAGGGTGGGGGAGCTTCCTTGGGCAGAGCTCGACCCTCTCCCCTGCCTCCCTGCGGTTGTTGTTTGAACGAAGACTCTTGGAATTGGCAAACAGGTGTACGCAGTCGCGAATGCGTGTCTAAATTCAGAAAAATGTGAGGTGATCCGGCCCTGCTTAGCGTGTGGGCTTAGGGCTCGCAGGTGCAGTGGACGGCTGACGCAACTGTGTGGGCAAAGAAGGTAATGTAGCGCAGATGGTTTTCGTGGCTTCAACACTGTGCGCAGGATGCTGATGCTTCGAAGATGCGAAGGCAAGTCAGCAATGAGTTTCAGACTCTGCCTAACTAACTGGTTGGCCAACAAGTAGTTGCTCGCTTGTCAGGGTCAATCCCGAAGGCTTGCTGGAAGGCATGCAGCAGTCGTTGATGGAGCGAAAAGAGACGCTCAGAAGCGATTCAGTGGTTTCAGTGGCCATTTGTTCGGTTCAACAATTGACAATAGCAGAGCCGATTTTAGAGAGTCTTTGCTGTAGGAGAAAGAAGAAGAGTCGACAGCCGTCAGATCTGATGGAGAAGGATGCGCAGCGGCCTAGGAATGTCATGTTTTGTTGATTTTTCATACAGTGCCTGCGTCAAGTGTGTTTTGTGAACTTCGCAGGTCGTTGCCAAGAGTGCCTTGGCCCCAGACCGTGAAATGAGCAGAATTTGTAATAAATGCACAGTCGTCATGGCGTCACTTGTGCTTAGGTCACTAAAGCTGACGGACGGCTTCTGCCGGGCGCTTGCCACGCCTCGCAGCGACGACGCCTTCTACCGCCAGTTCACCGCCAGTTCATGTCTCTGTTGCGGGTGCAGGACACTTGCAGCAACTTTGGTTCACTGCAGCTGCCTTGCTACATTTCAACAGACGAATCCTGGTGCAAGCACGTCTTTTTTTCATCTGGTTGCGTTGCAGATACGTTGTTATCTAACCGGCGTGCTTACGATTTTATTCGACGTGCTAGGAGTCAGTTCTGGTCGACTTCCTCCGGGGCAAGCACATGAAGGTGGGCCGCAGCACCTCTGATGCTTGGACCTCAGCAGCTACAGCATTCTACTGAGGTCGCAGTCTGTTGCCTTTCTGCTGAGGTGATCAGGAAACTGTTGGCTCTGGAGCCAGACGTGCTGCGGCGCGTCATTGGCTCGCTGCCGCTGTATGCCTTCAAGGACCGCTACCTGGTGCCAATCCTTTCTTCCACGAGCGAACCTCAAACACCTGGTGGTGCTGAAGGATCCGTGCTTCCAAAAGCGCACAGTGGCAGATGTGGTCAAAGCGCGCGAGGCCTTTCTTTTGAGTTCTGTTGCGAATAGTCTTTCTGCTTTCTTCGTAATTTTCTGAGGTATTTCTCCAGGATGGCTATCGGCTCGCCCTCCCGGAGACCTGCAGCCAGTGCTGCTTGGGCCGCGAGCTTGGCAGCCTGTACAAGGTTGACTTCGCCAAGCTCGGCCCGGAGTTTTACAGCTTTAAGCCCATGGAGCTGGTGAAGATTGTCCCTGGAGACCGTTCCAAGGCTGCAGCTATGGCAGCTATGTGGACGGTGTTCTTTGCCCTTGATATAACTGCAGGGTTTCTTTCTCCAGTCGTGTAAGGCTACTCAACCACGCTCGTCGGTGTGTTGGGCAGGGAGGATTGCAGCGCCTACTACTCCCAGAACAGGCTGGAGTGCTGGGCAGGGGGGGCAACAGCGTCTACTAAGTCTCTTAAGTTTACTACTCCCAGAACAGGCTGGAGGTACCCGTGGGGTTTTCATACAACAAATTCCCTCAGTACCCTCAAAGGAACCTTACTTTCTCAGTATTAAGGCCCCCTATGTGGAAACCCTGACCCCTATAGAAACCCTGTTGTGATCCTCTTAAAGGCGCACTGTTGCCCTTAGATGCCCTCAGACCTAAACCCTTAACCCTGGCATAACCCGAAGATAAGCTTATCATATATAACCCTCATACAACCTTTTCTATATAACCCTAATATAACTTTTCGCCATATAGTATATAATCCTAATATAACTTTATTATATTATATAACCCTAGTATAACCCCAATCCCTCGAGGATCTTCTTCAGGCCGTGCAGACGGCCTCCGTTGCAGCCGGTCGTGCCAGCACCCGCTTCTGAGAGCAGCCGGCCTTGACTTCGAGGGCTGTAGGGTTTATAGGGCTTAGGGCTTGATTTAGGAGTGTAGAGTTTAGGGTTTAGGGCTTAATTCAGGAGTTTAGGGTTTAGGGCTTAATTTAGGAGTTTAGGGTTTAGGGCTTAATTCAGGAGTTTAGGGGTTATATACGGCTTAATTCAGGAGTTTAGGGTTTAGGGCATAATTCAGGAGTTTAAGGTTCAGGGTTTAGGGCTTAATTCAGGAGTTTAAGGTTTAGGGCTTAATTCAGGAGTTCAGGGTTCAGGGCTTAGGGCTTAATTCAGGAGTTTAGGGTTTAGGGCTTAATTCAGGAGTTTAGGGTTTAGGGCTTAATTCAGGGTTTAGGGTTTAGGGCTTAATTCAGGAGTTTAGGGTTCAGGGTTTAGGGCTTAATTCAGGAGTTTAGGGTTTAGGGCTTAATTCAGGAGTTTAGGGTTCAGGGATTAGGGCTTAATTCAGGGGTTTAGGGTTTAGGGCTTAATTCAGGAGTTTAGGGTTCAGGGTTTAGGGCTTAATTCAGGAGTTTAGGGTTTGGGCCTTATTTCAGGAGTTTAGGGTTCAGGGTTTAGGGCTTAATTCAGCAGTTTAGGGTTTAGGGCTTAATTCAGGAGTTTAGGGTGTAGGGCTTAATTCAGGAGTTTAGGTTGTAGGGCTTATTTCAGGAGTTTTTGGTTTAGGGCTTAAGTCAGGAGTTTAGGGTTCAGGGTTTAGGGCTTAATTCAGGAGTTTAGGGTTTAGGGCTTAATTCAGGAGTTTAGGCTGTAGGGCTTAATTCAGAAGTTCAGGGTTTAGGGTGTAGGGCTTAATTGAGGAGTTTAGGGTTTAGGGCTTAATTGAGGAGTTTAGGGTTCAGGGTTTAGGGCTTAATTCAGGAGTTTAGGGTTCAGGGCTTAATTCAGGAGTTTTGGCTGTAGGGCTTAATTCAGGAGTTTAGGCTGTAGGGTTTAATTCAGAAGTTTAGGGTTTAGGGTTTATGGCTGACTTCAGGAGTTTAGGGTTTAGGGCTTAATTTAGGAGTTTAGGGTTTAGGGCTTAGGGCTTAATTCAGGAGTTTAGGGTTTAGGGCTTAATTCAGGAGTTTAGGGTTTAGGGTTTAGGACTTAAGTTTAGGGCTTGGCAATGCATTCACATGGCGAAATGTAGGGTCCTTACCGATTAGAATAGGGGCTTTTGGTGGTTCCTTACTGTCATCATGGTATAGTATCCCCGAAGCCCGGTTCTAATTATTCAGACCCCTGCATTATACTATGCTTGCCTATTTTATGGCATGACTGCGCTCCTAGCTAATCCTTGTTGTTAACAACAACCCTGCGGCGCTGCTGGCGACTGCACTTCGTCATAGTTGGGTAGCACTTTACATTTTAATGGGTTCTTAAACCCAACAAGGAATATCAATGTGAATTTCTAATCCTATCCCAACCATACCCTAAACCCTAAACCTGAAAGTGCGGCATGCCTTCGCCGCTTCAAGCCCCAAAGCTGCTCGCGTGTGGCCGGCTTCGAAGGCGATGGGATTCATCTCTCCAAAGCCTGATAGAGTAGGGCTACCTTTATAGGGTTCCTTTAAGTAAGGGTACTATAAGGGTTCCCGATTCCCTGAATTAAAGGTCTCTATAAAGGTTTGGATTGGAGTTTCCGGAAAATTAGGGGTACCTCATTTTGGGGTCCGAATAATAAAGGATCCTATTACTCAAGGTACTATATCGGAAACTTCCATATCTCCGAAGCCCACACGCCAAACCCAAGGCACACAAGTCGAAGTATCCGTGTATCCCGGTAAGGTGAGACGAACAGCGAGCAAACCACGAGGCAAGGAAAGCAGGTGAGCTCGTACTGAACACCTTGCACTATTCAGCCCTGTTTGGCTTACCGCTGGAACAGAGATTAGAGTCTCCCTAGACCCCAAACCCGAAACCCTACACCCCAATGCCTGAACAGCAAACCTTGAACTCTCAACCCTATTGCGATGCACCCTCCTTCAAGCACGCGGTCACGTTTCCTAATTCGAGTGCCTTCCGCTTCCTTCACGAGCTGGGACGTACCGGACACCAGTTCAAAACCTGTATTCTCTTCTCTTGCTATACCCAGAGGCTCCAAAGTAGTTCCTTTTTGGGATTACCTTATAGGATTCCAAATATTAACCCTAGAAAGCAACTACTATGGAGCCTTAGGGTAGCAGTGACAAGACTGGTACTGGTAAAAGTCAAATTATGACCAGTATCATACTAACCCTTCAAACCCCAAACCTCCAGAAAACTTTTAACATCCGTAAGCTTGAAATCCCCGGTTCAATATAGGAGCCAAATCAAACAGTTCCCCAATGGTCCAAGTAACCAGATATACAGATGTACAGTAGGGGTTGTAGCACACCAAGACAGGTGCAGCCGGTCTCAAACTAGCAATACATGTTGCCGTATCGTCCCGAGATGTTAGTTCTAGTGTAATATGTCCCGAAAAGCCTGTTCTATGTCGCATGGCCTCTAGCCTAAGGCTCCATAGTAGTTCCTTTTTAGGGTTAATATGTAGATACCTATAAGGTAATCCCAAAAAGGAACTACTTTGGAGCCTCTGGGTACATGATGAATTTGACGCTTGGTACTTGAGCACTTGGACTCTCGAGGCTACATAGCTAAACTCGAAACTCCCAACCCTTGCATCATAACCTAGCTCCGAAGCTTGCAAGTGTACATTTTGGAAATACTAGCAATAGAAACCTACTTGATGTAAACTTCTGCTCAAAACCCCAAGCCCTTAACCGGTAGACTTCTGCATCCTAAATTCTACAGCCCTACATCCCACCTGTATCCCCAAACCCTACAAAATAGTATGCTATGACCCCTTAATTAGAGTGTGTAACATCTGTATAGCCCTTAAGACAGTGGATCCCCAGGTAAGCCCTAAAACCTTAAAGTCATCAAATCGTCTGAAAACGCCGGCGAGTCCCAGGTTCCAGGAGGTGCAAGGCTCAATCCGCAGACTCCAATCTCCCAAATCACTGGAGGTACACAGAAACCCAGCCGTCAATTTGGGTTTAGGTTATAGGGCTTTAGGGGTTTAGGATTTAGGGTTGGCATATGTGTAGTAAATCACCGGAGGTACATACGGTTGATGATATAAATCGTGCATTACCCATAATAAGGAATATCCCATAATTCCCACAGTTTAGGGTCTTTAAGGTAATGCAGGATTTATATCATCAACAGATAGCAATCCAGCTGTCAGTTTGAGTTTAGGAGTATTCCATAATTCCCACAGTTTAGGGTCTTTAAGGTAATGCAGGATTTATATCATCAACAGATAGCAATCCAGCTGTCAGTTTGGGTTTAGGAGTATCCCATAATTCTTACAGTTTAGGGTCTTTAAAGTAATGCAGGATTTATATCATCAACAGATAGCAATCCAGCTGTCAGTTTGGGTTTAGGTTTTAGGTAGTTCCGGGCTTAGGGTTGGCATATCTGTGGTTGTCTGAATGAGGGGCCCTGTTAGGATCTCTTTTGTAAGGGTGACCTACCAGTCTGGGGGCTTAAAATGGGACCATAATTTCAGAGAACTACGGAGTTATAAGTATCATAGCCCCAATTAGGGTCCCTTTTAGGGTACTTATAAGTCTACTTACTACCTACTTACTAAGTCCCCCGACCCTCCAAGTACCCACATACTATTAGACTCGACTCGAAGAGTCAGACAGAAGCCCCAAAGCCCTCCACTCACGCACATGCTTTGGGCTTAAGAGACGAATTTTTCTGCATGGTACAGATGTTGTTCCTTGGTTGAATGCTTTTGGGTCTTCGGGGTAAGACGAGGTGGTGTGTCCTGAAGGTTCTGGGTGCAAGAGTGTACGGCCCGCACAGGCTAAAGGTACTAGGCTTTGTAGCTCTAAGCAGGGCGCAGGTTTCTGGATTCTTAGGGGTACTTAGAAATGGTTTTTAATTTTTGGTTATTATAATTCTTAAAAAAAGAAAACAGCTAAAGTTATGATTTTTGCTAGGGTTCTAAGTTCAGTATAGGATTCTAGACGGCTTGCGGTTCAATGGTTGGCGAAATCTGGGCGATTGGACTCTCTGGGATTGCATTGCGAGTGCATGCTAGCGGAAAACAGGTTTGAGTACCGACTCCATACTAACAGGCCTAGCTGTGGTGCAAGAAGCTCGTCAGAGCCCTGCTATACATGGTTTGGTCTGCGACAACATTGTGTTTCTATGTAAAGCACACTTATAGACCTTGGTGAAACTGTCATGTTCGATCTATCACACTGCCGCAGCAAGTTATGCTTGAAAGTTAAGACGAGACAAGCGCGCCCCTTGATCACATCCACCCCTTGGTTGTGGACATGATCGCCCTCCGCCTGATTACCGTCGCTCGGCAGTGGATACATCCTAAGCCCGAGACCTTGCCTAAGCCCTAAACTCCAATTAGACTCTAAAGCCTAAGTGCTCAACCCAACTCCACGGTGCCCAGAGACAATAAACCAAGACTTGGCGTTAGTAGCAAAGCCCAGCCTAAACTTGACAGGTTTCATGCACGCAAGATGGCTTGCTTTCGTGCATGCATACAGTCTTGCATTAATTCACGCATTAATTATTCATGCACTCATCCGTTCGTCCATTCGTCAATCAGTCAATCAATCAGACAATCATTCAATCAATCAATCAATCAATCAATCAATCAATCAATCAATCAATCAATCCATCATTCAATCAATCAAACAATCTATCAGTTATTTCATCATGCAACCATTCGATCATTCAATCATCCAACCTTTCAATCAATTCAACCAATCATGCATGCATGCATTCATTAACGCATTGGTTCAGTAGTTGATTCTTTCATCTCATCCATTAAGGCAATCATTCTGCCCTTCAGCTAGTCGGTCGATCAGTCTCTCAGCCAGCCAGCCTGTCAATCAGTGTTTGATTAAGTCGCTCGTTCAATCATCTTAGCATGCACATATTTTCGATAAGATGAACAGTATGAATGATAGGTCTTGATTCGTGCATAATGATGAAGGGCTTAGGGTGTAGGGCAGGGATGACGGGTCAGTAAAGAGTTGCGTTGTTTCGTGTTTCGGGGCGTATATGAAGGCACGGCCAGGACGGCAACCGTTTCGACACTAAAGCTATGCCTGGCCACCCCAAACCCGAAGTCACGCCGACCTTGTATTTCAACCCTGAGCCCCAAACTGCCGATAAATATCTATGACCTCAAAAGGACGTAAGCAGAACCACTTTACAGGGATATCCCTACCTTATTAGGCTTCATTATAAGGGGATTTAGTCGGGAGATCCCTATCACGGTTTTTGCTTATGTACTTGTTTGGGGACTCTAAACCCTAAGCCCTGAACCCTGGTAATCCCTTCGTAAGATTCAGCCTTGTGCTGCGGTTGATGATATAAATCCTGCATGACCTTAAGGACCCTAAACTATGGGAACTATGGTATATTCCTTATTATGGGTCATGCAGGATTTATACCATCAAAAGTGCCTCAGGCGTCCACACTTCTTACGGCTGCCTTGGCGTACAGCGCATATGGCTTTCCTGGTTACAGGCACCCAGAGACCATAGACTCCAATATCCCATAATTAATGTTCCTTAAATAATATTAGGGATCCTACTATATTTTAAGGTATTTTCCTTAATTAAGGGGTTTTGGAGTCTCTGGGCACTTGGGCGTTGGGTGCCCTAGGAGGATGTCCTCAGGGCCTGCAGCTCTATGAGAGTTTGACAACAACAGAATCCAACTCACAGGCGGTAAACACTAGGATCCATCATACCGATCCCCCTTTCTGAAGGGATCCGCAAGTTCAATGCCATTCCTCGGTTCAGCGTTTAGGGTTTAACGTTTCAGGTTTGGGCTTCGGGGTTCAGGGTTTAGGGTGTAGGGCCCCCAAACTCCTACATAAACTCTGGGGCAGAGACCCGACACCCGAATACTCTACGCCCTGAAAAGCCAAGCCCACACGCTGGAATGTACGCTGCCAACTTGAGGAGGCCCCAAGGGTCCATGTACCCAAATATAGTATATACTTCGGGCCCAATGTACCCATATAGGGAGTACTTTAAGGCCCAAGTATCTACTATTTGGGTACATGGACCCTTAGGGAGCATACATGTTGAACTTGTGTTTATTTACCATGTTTGGGCTCCTCGGAACCAATGGTAGGTATAACAACTAAACCCCGAGCCCATCGCAGGTCTTCCGGCTACGGTTTCGAGCCTTTCCACCAATTCGGTGGCTTTGGGTCTCATCGGGCATGGCCCTACCACGAGGCCTGTTGGGGGTGTGGGGCCGAGGGTGAGAGCTTAAGAATTGGGGTTTGGGGTTAGGGCTTAATATATGGGTGGTTGTCAAAATTATGGTCCCTTGTTGGGTACCCTAAGTATTAGGTGCCGTATTATAATAAGGACCCAAAAAGGGACCCTAATATTGACAACCGCCCATATGGGTCAAGGATGGGAATTAGGTATTGCGCACCACGAGGCCTCGTCACTGAGTGCTTTTCGGCTCTTGGAAGGGCAGGGGACTTAGTAAGTAGGTTATAAGTAGAGTTATAAGTACCCTAAATGGAGTTACCCCACTTATAACCCTACTTATAACCTACTTACTAAGTCCCCTGCCCTTCCAAGCTTTAGCACAGGGATCGAAGCATGTAGTAAACGGACATCCGTTTTTAGTCATTCTCGAAATCATCTACCATGACATAATTACCCCGGCACTTTGCTCGAATATGGCATACCCCGGCATTCGATGTGATGTTTGATGTATTTCTGCTTTGTGTCTTATGGTTGCCGCTTGAGGGTCATGAAGTGAGGCTTGAGGTTAACATGGGGGCGACCCAAAGTTACAATAAGTCATAGTATCCCTAGTGTGTCCAGTTTTGGCTAACCAGCTTTATGGCACTATATGGTTGGGATCCTGAAGTATCAAAGGGGTCTAGGGCTTAATCCTAACTTCAGAGGTTTAAGATTTGCCAGGTTGCGGCTATATGCTGTCGCAACCTCCTGTACCCAGGCCCCCGGGAGGATCCAAAAAGTAGATCCCTTAATTGGGGGTCCTATAAAGTACCCTTTGTAGTATAGGGCCCCAAATTAGGGGATCTACTTTCTAGATCCTTCCGGGGGTCTGGGTAGTCGCAAGCGGTCAGGCTTTATTCCTACCCAACTCAGCAGGCAAATCTGGGGTTCTAATTGTGGATTTGCGAAAATAGGGGACTCTAATACAGTACCCGAAATAGTCGGATCCTTATTATAAGGAAACCCAAATAAGGTGCCCCTAATTGTCGGAAGTCCTAACTCCTGAAGACTAAACCATCAGCCCCAACTCGTTCTAGCCCTTGAACGGGTGGGAAGTGATACGAGTTTATAGGATGCTATAGCATAATATCCAACAAGTTATTCTACCTCATAAACTCTCTCTTGAACGGGTCGGACTAGTTACAAAACTTTATGTGAGGCACTATAACTATGGCATAATAACCAAAAGTTGTTCTACTAATTAAGGCCTCTGTAGCCCTTTTCAGCCTTGCACGGCACCGAAGGAAGCCTACCGTCCCCCCTGCCCGCAATACAAGCCGATGGAGCCTTGACTGCAAAGCCCCACGCTTAGGGTTTCAGGAATCCAGATTTGGATTCATAAAGCCTAGCTATCTGAAGAAAAAGGTGTTTGTTTTCACCAGGAGTTAGGTTCAGGGTTTCGGGTTCTATTGTTTGTGCTGGACGCACTTCGGGCTCAGTGTTGTGATGCACGTTCTAGGGCATGTTGACCGGAGAAGGTTCATGGATTGCCGCGAATCAGACTTCCTGCAAGAAGTTTGATGAGTTTTTTGTGTGTTGCTCCTGCGCCAAGTTCACACACCCTACATACTATATTGTAAACTCTAAATCCAAGCACCTGGGATCCTAAATCCTGCTGTGCACCTTTACTCCGTCAAATCTTGTGGGTCTCTTCATGACGAAGCAGATTTCACTCCAAGGACGCTCTATCTCGAGAGCCTCGTGATCTCAGAACTTAGGGTCCTCAGAACAACAGGGCAGAACCCTAAAAATGAAAACTAAAACCCTAAACCCTAAACCCTAAACCCCTAAACCCCAAACCCTAAACCCTAAACCCTAAACCCCTAAACCCCAAACCCTAAAGAGTCTCAGAGTCGAGGTTGCATCGGGTGTAACCTTAGTGTGCCCAAGCTCGGCGCTCACATCCAAAGCTCCGTGTTTCCAAGAGTCTGCATTGTAGTTCCTTTTTTTGGATAACCAGTTTTATGGTTAGGATCCTATACTAGAGTCTTTGGTTAACCAAAAAAGGAACTACAATGGAGACTATAGGTTGGACTTAGGCTTCAAGGCATGTTCCCCAAGGCTCACCATACCTATATCGTGTATGGCTAGGCCTCGAAGTACCTACACAGGAACGTACATAATCGGAACCCCGCTCAGGTCTAGCTATATACTGTACTACGGTTGATGATATACATCCTGCATTACCTTAAAGACCCTAAACTGTGGGAATTATGGGATATCCCTTATTATGGGTCATGCAGGATTTATATCATCAACCGTAGGACCCAGAGTAGGCCCTTATTCCTTTTTGGGGGGTTTAGGTTCCCTTACAACCCCTTTAAACCAAAACGGGCACCCTTTATTCCTAGGTTACTCTTAGGTCTAGTGCACATGGAGCTCCAGGCCGAGAAACGAGCCTGGAGTAAAGCCACTCTTGTACATCCTTATCCAGAGGCTCCAAAGTAGTTCCTCTTGGGGGTTACCCTATAGGGTTAGAAGTTAGAATTATGAACCCCAAAACAGAACTACTATGGAGCCTGAGGGTAGCAACTATCCAATCCGAAAATGCAACCATTCAGCGTGCTTAGCCTTCGAGTTGAAACCTCATGCGCCCTAAACCCCAACCCTAAGGGTCCAAGTACCCAAATAGTAGGGTTTCAAGGTCCAAAAACCATTCAGGGGATGGGGGATCTAAAACCCTACTATTTGGGTACTTGGACCCTCTGGGCAAGTTTCAAATCATGAGACCTCACCGTATCTGAGGAGCTGGGCGATTGGGAAGAGGCCATAACACCCTCTGGAGGCGAAACTGTGTGCTTCTGCACATGGGTAGTCGTCAAAATTAGGGTCCCTTTTTGGGTCCCTATTATAATACGGCACCTATTGTTTAGGGTGCCCATAAGTGGACCATGATGTTAACAACTACCCACATGTTGCCCCGGCATTCGAGGAGTGAAGCCTTAAATCCTAGTCCCTACAATCCTAAAACCCTAATAATCAATATTCCCGGAACCCTGAACCCTGAATCCTAAACCTTAAATCCTAAAACCCTAACAATGCCGTGAAGCTCCTATCTGGGACCCGCTGAGCTGGATGGAAATTTCCTACTTGGAGGATCATGGGACTTAGTAGGTTTGTAAGTCAGGTAACTACAGTTATAACTACTGATAACCCCAGTTGCCTTACTTATAACCCTACTTATTAAGTCCCATGATCCTCCCGACAACAAAGTAGGATCATACTTACCAGGACCCCCCCCCAATGGCCCTTTAACAGAGCCCTTTTGGTCCTTAAGAGTGGGTACCTGGGGTATAATAGGGGGTAGTTGGTGGGTCTAGGTACGGATTCTTCTATAGATTATGGTATGCTGGTACCTACACATTCTTTCTAGGTCAAAGGGGCCTCTATGTATACAATCCCCGAGCACTCTGGCACTAATCACTTGGCCTAAGCTTGAGCTCGACATGCAGGTGCCTACCAGCTTTCCGTCAAGCTCCCTGGGGTTCACCCTCAGAGCCGCTTGGTGGAGCTCATGGAAGCTGGACGAGGATCGGGTGTAGTTGCTTTTGTTTTTGGGGTTGACCTATATAGTCTCCATTGTACTTTCTGTTTCTGTGTAGATTATCTCAAGTTTGTTAGCCAAAACAGGAACGAGAATGGATACTATAGGACTCAAGGTTCAGCGCCCTAACAACCAGATAGTCACTGCCTGCTTTCATCAGCCCTGCTGGAGCGGGAGACTACATAACACAGAGCGCATCCAGCGGTTTACGCTTTAGTTGCGTAAGGGTTTAAGAGTTTAGGGTTTTCGGGTTCGGCTGTCAACCCCGAACCCGTAAGGGGTTCGGAACGGTTCGGGCTCCTAACCATGAACTGCAGCAGCGAACTTGGCTGCAATGGGGAATTGTCTCAAGGAGGAGTACGCCACAAACGCTCGCTTTGTCGAACCTAGTAAGAGCCCTAAACCCTAAACCGATTAAGGCTTTGCTTTGGAGTTTAGGGCGCAGGGTTAAACGTTGGCTTGAGATTTTAGAGTTTCGTGTGCAAGCTGCCAGTCTCCTGGTTGAATGGGGTTTTGTGCTGATCGTGCAAGCGGACGACATCTGCAGGAGTGCACATCAGTGGCTACAGACAGGCCTGCTGCATTTGCTGCTTGCTTTGTTCGCTCTTTGCTGAGTGTGCGACAGCACCGGGACAAACGTGGGGAACGGCCGAGCTCTTTTTAGCCAGCGAGTCAAGGTGTAAGTGCGCATATGTTGGCGATTCTGCCAGGACCTCATCCGGGGTGAAGTAGACAAAACAACTTATTCTCAACCCTTCTGCAAGCTCTGCAGTCAAAGCAGCTTGCTTATTTCATCGCAGCGAAGAATGCCAGTCGCAGCAAGCCCGACTGATTAAACTGTGCAACAGGGGAGCAAAGCTGTCAAACACTGCCGAGCTTAACTGCAGGACCAAGCTGCACAGCGGGTTTGAGTAAGCATTACTGATAGTAGCCCCCACGAATCTCATACGGCCTGGCGAAATTAAGGTTGCAAGTCCAAGGTGCACAGGTCCCCAGTCCAAAACCACAGAGAACCCGGCTCCAAAACTGCGTGTCATGCCTATGTAACAAACTGTTCTGAGCCTGTGTCCTCTTCCATATTGAGGTATGTATTAGAGTTGTGGATCACTCTGCTAAGGACTCCCTCATGTGTACACCAGATGCCCGAAATGCGTAATCAATGCCGAACTCCCCGAGCCCAGGAATTGGAGTGTGTCTATCGCATGCTTCCTTTCCACGATTCCCCTAAGCCCCGTGGAGTGGCTTGAACCCAGAACCCGGGGGCCCAACACCACAATGTTCCGTGTCTACAGGGTTGGGCCTCACCCAGAGGCTCCAAAGTAGTTCCTCTTTGGGGTTTACCTTATAGAGTTCTAATGTCTAATTATGAACCCTAAAAAGGAACTACTATGGAGCCTTAGGGCAAACAGAAGCGACATGTACCCCTTGTTTCCATGTGGTTTGGCAGTGTGCATGGGCCACTCCGAGTAGAAGCTGCAAGCCTGATACCCAAACATCAGGTTCGTGAGCTGTCAATATAATCAATACTCTCTCTCTATATATATATGTATATATATATATATATATTATATCGAGAGAGTGGTGTTTATATTACACATTGTAGATTATCATACCATACGTATTCAGTTGGTCAAGGTTCCAGTGTGTTTGGCGTCTTCAGGGTTTTGTTGTGTGTGATATGAGCATTCTCTCGAAGAAGCAGGTGCCTACGAGGGGACGCGTGCGAGCTGCACGCCTGCCTTTAGTGCACTTGCGACTGGCAGGGTCTAATGTAGGAACTTGATTAAGAAACCTTGATTCGGGTTCCGTATATGATGAACCCTACTATTTTGGGGTTGTAGGCCCAGGGTTTTTAATCAGGTTCCCATTTTAGTGCCAGGCTGTGGTTTCAGGACTTACTGTATGGCAGTGTTACACCGAGTAGCTGCACAGCCTTGCGATCTTCATGGCTAAGCCATTCGTGAAACGAGTGCTATGTGTTTGCAGCAGTTACTAGGTATTGGCGGCTTAGGGTTGAGGTTGGGTTGGGATTACCGTTCATGGTCTCGGGGTTCATGTTGGTTTTGCTGACGTCTGAGGCCTTTATCCCAACCTTCTGAGATATCTGTGGTGCAGGATACTGTCTAGCTGCCGCTTCCAAGCCTTTCAATTCCCAGCCAGAAAGCTCCAGCATATGGGTGCTTGTCAAAATTAGGATCCCTTTTTCGGTACCCTAAAGAATAGGTGCCGTACTATATTGGGGATCCAAAAAGGGACAATAATTTGACAACCAGCCATATCCAGACTAAACTCATTTGGCTTGGGGTTTGGGGGGTCTCGGGAGCCAAGGGTCTGCAGGAGCTGAAGCTAAGCCTCTCCATTCTCGACGTTGTGAGGCTCATGGGCGCTCAGTCCGGTTGATACCTTTGGCAGCGTAAGACTTTAGGGATTGGTTTTGTCGTCTTACATTGCATCTTGTGGGCTTTCACCCAGTAGAATTGCCAGCTCCTTTGCCGCGGTTTAGGGTTTAGGGTTCGGAAGTTCGGGTCCCTTACTAAACCCCTAAGCCCCTAAACCCCTAAACCCCTAAACCCTAAACCCCTAAACCCCTAAACCCCTAAACCCTAAGCGAAGTTTGTGGGAGGTAGCACTTGGGTCCCGATCGATGTCAAAGACTCCACAGTCGGAGCCCTAAACCCCCAAACCCCTGAAGCCTGCCACCCCCTGCATGACCCGTATATATAAGTGTATAAGGTTTAGGGTTTTAGGGTTTAGGGCTCAGGATTTAGGGTTTAGGGTTTAGGATTTTGGTATAGGGTTTAGGGTAATTTAGGGTTTAGGAAATTAAGGCTAAACCACCAAAGCCTGCACCCCGCAGCATGACCCGTATACCCAGAGGCTCCAAACTAGTTCCTTTTTGGGGTTGCCTTATAGAGTTGAAACTTAAAAGGAACTACTATGGAGCCTTAGGGTAAGTGTAGAAGGTTTAGGAATTTTTGTTGGGTTTAGGGGTCAGGGTTTTGGCTTTAGGGTTTTGGGTTTTAGGGTTTAGGGTTTAAGGAAAATTGAGGCTTTGGAGTGCCTTCCTGACGACGCGCGACTCAGCCGTGTGTGCTGGCTGCAGCAGGGTTTATGTCCTACTGTTGATGATATAAATCCTGCATTACCTTAAGGACCCTAAAGGACCCTAAACTGTGGGAATTATGGGATATTCCGTATTATGGGTAATGCAGGTTTTATATCATCAACAGTAGGTTCAGCCTACAGGGCTTTATAGGGAGCTCTTCTCAAAGGGACAACAAGCCTTCGCCACTAGAAGGCGACCTGGAGGAGGTTCTGCCTAAACCTTGAACCCTACCTATAGTCTCCATTGTAGTTCCTTTTTTGGTTAACCAAACACTCAAGTATAGGATCCTAACCATAAAATTGGCTTTCCAAAAAAGGAACTACAATGGAGACTATAGGTAAATCATGGACTATGAACCCTCAACCCTAGGCTTCTCAGTGGCCTTGGTTTGAGGTTGGCTCGAGCTTGGGGTCCCTTGCAAAGCTGAGGGGGTTGGACCTGTCCTGTCCAGGCAGAGAGCATCGTCGTTCCAGTAGTAGTAGTAGTAGTAGTAGTAGTAGTAGTAGTAGTAGTAGTAGTAGTAGTAGTAGTAGTAGTAGTAGTAGTAGTAGTAGTAGTAGTAGTAGTAGTAGTAGTAGTAGTAGTAGTAGTAGTAGTAGTAGTAGTAGTAGTAGTAGTAGTAGTAGTAGTAGTAGTAGTAGTAGTAGTAGTAGTAGTAGTAGTAGTAGTAGTAGTAGTAGTAGTAGTAGTAGTAGTAGTAGTAGTAGTAGTATCAGCAGGACTAGTAGTAGTAGTAGTAGTAGTAGTAGTAGCAGTAGTAGTAGTAGTAGTAGTTGTTGTTGTTGTTGTTGTTGTTGTAGTTGTTGTTTTAATCGTAGTTTAGTTGTAGTCGTGGTAATGCTGGTAATGACTGGGCAATGACTTTCTTCAAACTCCATGATGCCTCGTGAATGGGCTTTTTCGCGAGTATTGTAGCCTGAACTTACAAAGCAAGCGCAGGTTCCAGGGCGGAACGCCCTGCCGAATTGTGACACGTGCAGTAGCATGTGCCCGAACAGTATATACCTTGGCCCCAATGTACCGAAATAGGGACTACTTTAAGGCCAATGTATATATTTTTGGGGGGTACATGGACCCTTAGGGTAGTGGCGGCAGAGCCCCAAACTCTGACTTCAGCTGGTGACGTTGCAACCCTAAACCCCTAAATCCCTAAAGCCTAATCCCCTAAACCCCTAAGCCCCTAAACCCCAAGCCCTGCAGTTGTGTCCCAGAGCCTCCTGATGCAAGAATCCAAGGGTAAAAGGAGGGACCCTTAATAAGGACCCCTAGGTATATACCCTTAGTGTAGCCATTATATACCCATTATATAGCCCATTATATCCTAAACCCTAAACCCTCAATATAGCCCCTTAAAGTAGTCCTTATAGACCCCTTTAAAGGATTCCCTATGGGTAGGGGTCCCATTAAGGGTCCCTCCTTTTTCCCCTTTGAAAGAAGTTCGGGAGCCGGAAGTTTCCATCAGCCGAAGCCTGATAAGGTAAAAGCACGCCAGCTCTAAGTCATACGGTTCCTTTAAAGGGGTCTATAAGGGGTACTATAAGGGGATCTATCAGGGTACTATAATATAGGGACCTTAACAATTAGACTAGGGTTTGGGAGGTGTATTAATTGTACTCTAGTTACAATAAGGAACTCCAAAAACCCTATTCTAATTATTAAGGCCCTTATACTACGGTTGATGATATAAATCCGGCATGACCTTAAAAAGACCTAAACTATGGAATTATGGTATGTTCCTTATTATGGGTCATGCAGGATTTATATCATCAACAGTATGTTTCCAGCTTTTACCGCCTCATAAGACTTCGACACGAGGATGGACGCTACGAGATCTTGGAGGCCATAGTGCCATTTCCGAAGGCAGGGGCCGTTCCCTCCGAAACTGCCGAAGGGTCAAACCCAGAACCTAGGTAGCATTATTAGGGAGACCCCTCAAAGGGCACCCCTTCTGAACCCTACTTCTGGCTCTCTTAAAAGGGGCCTTATTGAGAGGGTCTATATCCCCAAGGGGTCCCCCTAATCCTAACTCCCAGAACCCACATCGAACCCTAATTAAGCCCTAGATTGCTGAAATCGAACCGAGTATCCCTAATCCGAAACTGGTAGTCAAGGCGGTGTGAGCCGTAGGATGAAGGATTTCAGAGTCCTAAACCCTTGACCCCGACAGCAAGCAAGAAGAACAAGCGATGCGCAGGATGCAGATGCCTCCAAGGCATCCGTCCGACACGGCCGACAGGCGGGGGGCTTCCCCAAGACTCCCTAAGTGCAATGTGTGGCTTACTTAGAGGATCATGGGACTTAGTAATTGGGGTTATAAGTAAGGTAACTATAGCTATAATTACTCATAACCCCAATTAAGGTACTTCTAACCCTACTTACTAAGTCCCATGATCCTCCAAGTAGGATACTTGTAGACAACTTCGACTCCCGAAGTGGAATGTGTGGCTTAGGGGTTCAGGGGCTAATTATAGGGCTTAATTAGGGTTGAGGAGCTACTTAGCCAAATATCGGGTTTCATTAGGGTTGAAGGGCTAATACGTTTTTTTTAGGGTTGAGGGGCTAACTATGGGGTTTAATTAGGGTTGAGGGGCTAGGGCTTAGGGTGGGGCCAGGGTTTAGGGTATAGGGCTAGGGTTCAGGGCTCTGGGGTGGGCTTAGGGTTTAGGATTTCACAAGGTTTCTGCAGAATTCAGAAGGTGTTGATAAGCTTTAACGGTTTATGTTGTCTCCAATGCACAGATCTGATGGCCTATGCTCCATCTCACAAAGTTCATCAGTGCTTAGGTCATTGGAGGAAGTGTGGGCTTTGTTTCATGGTGCAAGGTTTAGCGATGCGTGGATTCAGGGGATTCCGATTCAACGAGTTTAGGACGGAGATTGCGTAACCGGGCGTCAAGCTTAAAGTATAGGGTTTAATCTCTATAGGGGAACATTCCTGACCCTCATAGTGCCCGATAAGAGCTTCAAATCCACAGAAAACAGATCAACAAGGAACCTGACGGGAAACCCGGGATCCGCAAAAGTTCCCTCAAGCAACCCTTCCAGACACCCTTAAGGGCTCACAGGGTTTAGGGTTCCCTTAAGGCTCACAGGGTTTGGGTTTCCTTTGAAGAGACCTTACAGTTCCGTTTTCCTAAATAGCGCATACTTCGGCCTACAGCCCTAAAGTATTTGGGTGGTTGTCAAAATTATGGTCCCTTTTTGTGTCCCTAATGTTGTACAGCACCTAAAATTTAGGGCAGCCAAAAAGGGACCCTAATTTTGACAACTATTTTAAAGCCAACCCTGGGTACATCGGTACATGGACCCTGAAACCCTAAACTTATAAGCCCTTATGACCCTTATGGTACCCAAAGAGGAAGCCTTCGGGAAACCACTGAAAAAATCTTTTGGTACATGGACCCATTTCAGAGTAATCCCCAGACGTGAAAGCTTGGAGGGGCAGGGGACTTAGTAAATAGGTTATAAGTACCCTAAATGGAGTTACCCCAATTATAACCCTACTGATAACCTACTTACTAAGTCCCCTGCCCTTCCAAGAGGGGCTGGAGATCACCGCTCCTCTTCGTCGCGATCCCGGTGTGAGGTGGGGACCTTGCCGTCTCGACTTGTGGGTCAAACTAAACAGCCCAGAGACTCCAATATCCCTTAATTACCGAATATACTTTAAGTCATAGTAGGACCCCTAAGAGGATTTAAGGAATATTCCTTAAATGAGGGATATTGGAGCCTCTCGGAGAGTAGGGTCTAGACAGGGATAGTTTAGGGGTTAAGGGGTTTAGGGTGTAGGGTTTCAGGTTTGGGGTTTTAGTGTTCAGGGTATAGGGTTAGAACAGGACTTGGAGGATAGACCGGGATAGGTTCATGTATATATGTTTATTAGATAAGGAACGCTGATGGACACGATTGGAAAACTTTCGACTTCTATGATAAAATTGCTCCTGACACAGACATTATCAAGGTTCAGGATTTGTGGATCAGCGTTTGGGGTTTAGGGGTTTAGGGGCTCGGAGTTAGGGGGTTTGGGGCATCGGAAGGACTTCGTTCAGGTTCCACGAGAGTTCTAATTAATGGGTTTCGGTCGGGTTCTACACTCTACACAGAGGCTCCATAGCAGTTCCTTTTTGGGATTACCTTATAGGATTCTATATCTGAACCCCAAGAAGGAACTATGTTACTATGGTGCCTTAGGGTAAGGCCTTCGCTACAGGGCTGTACTACGGATCTGTAGAGATCCTACTAGTCATCTCGTTAGGGTTTAAGGTTTGGGTGTCCAGGGTTGCCGTAAGGTGTAGGGGTGTACTTCAAGTGGAGTAGGTAAACCTTTGATCTTTGGGATTCCATATATAACCCTAAACCCTAGACCCTAAGCCTAAACCTAAACCCCAAAGCCCTAAGACCTAAAGCCCTAAACCCTAAACCCCTATACCGTTTCAATAGTTAACCTTTGTGGGAGTTTCCGCAAATAGGGGACTCTGATATAGTACCCTAAATAGCAGGATCCTTATTATAAGGGCCCCAAAATAGGGTCCCCCTAATTTTCGGAAACTTCCTTATTTAGCCTCCTCAGATACTTGGACAACGAAGTCGGGGGTTCAGAAGTCTAGGGTTCAGGGAGAGCGATGACTTTTCTGCGACGAGAAGCTTTCCTCAGACTGGCAGGCTCCAGGGCCGCTACTCTGCTAGGATCCTCTAGCAATCTGGGGTTCGTACACGTAGTCGGCGTGAGACGTGTGTCAGACGATGGAGTGGTCTTCTTGAAGATAGGCAAGACCTCCATGTTTATGGAACCTTGGAGCCGAGGAACCAGCGTCGTGGCCCTGATGTCAGCGTACCACCTCCGATGTCCGGTGGCTGACAAACACCTACGACTGGAGTATGTGCGCCTGTACTGGTCGTTGCACGCATGGAAATATCAGCAGCCACACGGGGCAAGCCATGCAGCACGACCGCCCCCAGCCCACACTGGAAGAGACCCAGAGGCAGCGCGAGAGAACTCTGAGGTGTTTCGATGCAATCGGGGTTAATGTCCTGGCGACTCAGAGGGTCTTGGATGTTGGTTTGAAGGTGTTGCTGCAAGCCCCAAAATGGAAAAACCTAAACCCTGAACACTGGGAATGGATCCCACGATCCGGTCGTCAGGTTCGGATTTACAAAGAAAGGGTCCGGAGCTTGTGCCCAATCACGCCACGAGGGCGACACACCAACAGACGCCCGAGCACAACGATATCCATACATTCATAAATCGCATGCATGTATGTCTGTATGTTAGTTTTGTATGGTTGTATGTATGCATGTACATACATCATACAAATACATGTGTATGTTGAATCAAAACCTCTTCTATATCGCATTCCGCTGTCGCCTTCACCCGCAAAGTGAGGTCGCCGAGGCCTGAATCCCACGCCAAAACCTCCAGCCCCAAGCCCCTAAACCGCTAAACCCCCTTAACCCCCAAACCCCCCTGAACCCTAAGCCCCCTTAAGCCTTCAGCCCAGAAGCCCTGAACCTTATAGGTCCTAAAGCCTAAAGCCCAACAGAGCCGGAATGCGAATCCAGAGAATCCCAACGCCTTAGTTAATGTTTAAAGGGATCTTCAAGAATTCCTTTAAGGGATCTATAAGGGATCGATAGGGTTGACGGTTTAGGATAGGGGCCTTTGGGTAGTGTAGGAGCCTGATTAAGAACCCTGAGGTTATATTGGTTAACTAGGTGGCAGTTTGGGAAACTTTTCGATGTCCCTTTATGGCTCCTATAGAGGTACCTGTTCATAGATGCTTGTCAGGGCCCCAAAACTGCAACCCAGCTAATGCAGGAACCCGATTAAAACCTCAAAAGAGTAGGATTCATATATGGAACTCAAGGTTTCTTAACGAGGTTCCTATCTTCGGGAATATACCTTAAACCTTATTATGCATCCCACGAGCATTCCGTGTGTATTCCTTAATTACGAGGCTTTGGGGTTAAGGTTCCAGGTTTAGAGTTAAGTATCCTGTTGTCACTCAGATTATATTCCTTAACTAACCACAAGGGGACACCATAATTTGGTACTGGGGTTTTGGGATAGCAGTTATGTAGGTTGTTAGGATTTTGGAGAGTATGTGGTTATTGGGCACTTATAACTTATAACCCTACTAACTAAGTCCCATGATCCTTCAAGTAGACCAAAAACCCTGAACCCTTACGTATAGTACCCCTATAGATCCCTGAAAGGGACTCTTGGACCCTAAACCCCAAACCCTAAAACCCTAAGGGGTTTGGAGTCTCTACGCAACCCTTCTCCCGAAGCTGTTGAAGGAGCTCCAGGCCTTCTGTGTCATCGAAGCGAATCGCAGCGGCTGAGCTTCAGGCTTGTGAAGATGGTAGTAAGTAGTAGTAGTAGTAGTAGTAGTAGTAGTAGTAGTAGTAGTAGTAGTAGTAGTAGTAGTAGTAGTAGTAGTAGTAGTAGTAGTAGTAGTAGTAGTAGTAGTAGTAGTAGTAGTAGTAGTAGTAGTAGTAACAGTAGTAACAGTAGTAACAGTAGTAACAGTAGTAGCAGTAGTAGTAGTAGTAGTAGTAGTAGTAGTAGTAGTAGTAGTAGTAGTAATAGTTGTAGTAGTTGTAGTAGCAGTAGTAGCAGTAGTAGTAGTAGTAGTAGTAGTAGTAGTGGTAGTAGTAGTAATAGTAGTAATAGTAGCAGTAGTAGCAGTAGTAGCAGTAGTAGCAGTAGTAGCAGTAGTAGCAGAAGTAGCAGAAGTAGTAGTAGTAGTAGTAGTAGTAGTAGTAGTAGTAGTAGTAGTAGTAGTAGTAGTAATAGTAGTAGCAGTAGAAACAGTATTTGTAGTAGTAGTAGTAGTAGTAGTAGTAGTAGTAGTAGTAGTAGTAGGAGTAGGAGTAGGAGTAGTGGTAGTAGTAGCAGCAGCAGAAGTAGGACTCAGCAGGAGTAGCAGTAGAGTAGGAGTAGTCCTAGTAGAGGTTGTCCTCGTTTTCCTCGTCGTCGCAATGGCATGAGTTGCTGCAACAGGCCCCTGCAATCATAGTAGCTAGATGCGATCATGAAGTAGTAAGCAGGAAGTAGCAAATAAAGTGCCAAGTTACATGTGTCAACGAGTAAGCAAGCGGAGAGTGGTCCTCGTACGTGACAAGTGCAGAATCTTTCAGTGCAGCAGGAATTGCTCATTGTCATCAGGTCTTAGCTGGTGCTACCTGTCTCTACAGTCTTTTGCATTTATCCGTTTTTGGTTCAAGGTTTAGGGTACGGTTGATCTTGACTTGCGTGCTGTACAGGGGTGTATCAATTTCTCTGACCACCTGCTCATTTTGGGGGCACCCTTGGCTGTGTAACCGTTGCTATTTCTTTGCAGCAGGAGGATGCGGAGTGTTCGAGTTCAACAGAGGACGTTGGTTCTTCGCAGTTGTTTTTTAATATTTGTGGTTGTTGCCGTGAATTATCCAAGCACCTGTGCCTTCCTAGGCCCCCGTGTGCAGAAACTCGAATGCCCCAGATGCTTGTGCCAGATGGCGCCGCGGACGGACGGCATTGAGATCACCGAGGAGGAGTATCCTTACCCGGAGAAGGATTCCGGGGTTGTGAACGGGAGATTCTTTCTCATTGGGGGGCCCTTTCTTATGTTCCCAACTGTGTACTGTACCCTTCCAAAATGGACCCTGAACAAGGACCCTAAGAGGGACCCGAATTTAGGGAACTGCTCAAAGATATGTTGCTTCCCTTCCGAAAGGACCAAAGATTCCCAAATGGGCCGCGGTTCGGCACAAACCCCCTGCCCGGCATTTTAGTGCCTGAGGGTCCATGTAATTACCCAGATGGTATATACTTTGGCCCGAAAGTACCGATATCTAAGGCCAAAGTATATACTACATGCGTACCTGGACCCTTCAACCCTGTAAGCTCGAAGCCCATATGGTACCCAACAAGGAAGCCTGAAGAGAACCCCTTAAAGGAACCCTGTTGTGTACATGAACCCTTAGGGTGAATTATATGCGGTTCTTCGCAGAAAAACTGTGGAGCCGGCTGGTGCCAGAGCAGGGTTCGGGGTCTGGAGAGTTTAGGATTTGAGGGTTTAGGGTTTAGGAATTTCAGGGTGTAGGGTTTTAGACTTTTAGAGTTTAGGGTTTAGGGTCATAGAGTAGGGTTCGGGATCTGGAGACTTTAGGATTTGAGGGTTTAGGGTTTTAGAGTTTAGGGTTCGGGGCAAAGTCGTGAGGGTTTGGATGCAGGGATATGTTCCAGGTGTCCTGGTGCTGTGTGCATAAAAGAAGAGGTCGCATTAAGTTTGGGAAAACAGAGGCCCCCGACCCCAGCCGCGTTGCAATCCTACCGACAAGAGTGTGGCGGTTTAGGGTTTAGGGTGGCTGTTTGAGCTCATACGGGGGGGATTCATGGACTACTCGCCAAGAATATTTGGAACACTTACCAACTCCCGAATCAAGTCCCGTAGTTTAATCCCTGTAGACCTAGACTCAACTGCCAAGCCGCATAATACCCCACAGTTCTGAAGAAGTAGTGCGCTGCTGATCGTAGTCCAACATACCACCACAACGCTATATACGGCCCCTACAATACCCCAAGCCTATTCTAATTCGGGCCTTCAACACGCAAAAACCTATCGTAATTACCAAAGGGTCCAAGTATCATTATGGTATATACTTAGACCCCCAAATACCCCATAAGTATACACCAGAATGATACTTGGACCCTTTGGGTTTGGGGCCGCCTGACTGGCAGGATGCCGACGCAGCTGAAGGTTGGTTTGACAATCGGAACGAGTTCCAGCTCTACTGAGTGGGGCCTCTGTAGGGTTTAGGGATCTGATTTACTTGATTAGCAAGCTTGCTCGCGAAAGACAGCATAGAGATGATGTCGTACAGCTATATTGACCGTGTACAGTCCATCTCCTCTCCCTGCGGCCCGCCTACCTATCTGGCAGTGTCTTCCTTGACTTCTTGTTCGCATCCGTTTGACTCAGTCGGAGATGACGGGTATGCGGCCGTTTCGGGTACCAGAGCCAAAAGTCACAGGAAGTTTTTGACCTCGCAAAGTGTGCGCCGCCGCCGCTTGTACAGCTTGAGCAAGGTATGTTTCTTTGGGAAACACTTCCATCGAGTACCAGCGGCTTGTCCTGGTGGGATGACAGCTGCGGAACTGCTTCGTAGCAGACAGCTTTACCATCTGCAGTCATCTCACCCGAGCAAGCTGAAAACTTGCTTCCTGCGCTTTGGTAAGAGAGGCCTCGTACAAAGCGGGAAGTTTCTCGCCCACAAACCTGGGACGCCATTAGCGAAATGGCAGCCCTGCGCCGCCAGCAGGCTGAAAATCTAGGCAGCCCGAGCATGAACAGTCAAGAATCTATATCTCTATATATATATATATATATATATATATTTCTGTATATATATATATATACATACAGTGTTTATAGGGATCAGGGTATAGGGTTTGTTTAGGGACTGCCTCAAGCATCTTCGTCGTAGTTAGTGGGTGGTGCAGCAGCAAAAAGCAAAACGTCGACAAGGCAAAGAGAAGTTGCAATGGCAGTCGGAGTATCAACATTCAAGCACAATCAGCCGAAGTGTTCTTCTTCGTGGTAATATCATGACAGTGGTAGGTCGCACTTGCAGCATCCCCGTGGTGGACTGCGATATGCAGCGGTGAGAGCTGGTTTGAGTGCTATGCTGGATGTACGTAGAGGGAGTACATGTTGATGTGTGTGTGTGTGTAGAATCCAACTGATCCTGGATGGTACACGCTTGTGTAGCGAAAGTGCAAGAGAGGTGCAAGCTGCACAGACGGGAGCCTTGCCACAGTGACGTTGTGCTATATGTTCAGCTACACGTGTTGCGCGGGTACCACTTGATGTGCAGCTGCCCAGCTGTGTCGATGAGAGCAACAAATTGCTAGTCTTCAGCCTTCATAAAGCATCTTCCCAAAGCATCTTCCCAAGCTTGTACACAGACTCCTCGGAACAGCGGCTCATTTGATATGAGTTCGAGGCAAAATGACGAAAACATCGTCTCAGGCTTTCACCCTCTTGCCGCCTTTCTGCATAAACAGCTTCAGGGTTGGGGTTATAGCTTAGGGTTTAGGGGCTTGCGGGTGTAGGTGTTTAGGGCCAGGGTTTAGGGCCCTGAGCCCTAATCCGTGCGCAGCAACCATGGGCAAAAAAGTCTTGCAAGCCGGCAATTTCGTTGGCGTGGGAGCTGCCCCGGCCTCGGTCTTTTAGGGTTTAGGAGTTTAAGGGTTTAGGGTTTAGGATTTAGGATTTAGGGGTTTAGGGGTTTAGGGTTTAGGACCCCTAAGTTTAGGGTTCAGGGTTTAGGGGTTTAGGGTTTAGTGGTTTAGGGGTTTAGGGTTTAGGGGTTTAGGGGTTAAGGGTTATTTCCAGGACACCACCTTTTGTCACTGTTGTTCGGCTTTGGGGCTTATAGGGTTAGGGTTTAGGTTAGGGTTTAGCCTGGTACTGCGTTACTGTTGATGTTGCTGTTGGTGTGGTTTTGATATGGGTACTGGTGCTGCTCTTGGCTGTGGTGGTGGCGGCTGGGCAGGTGGTTTTGTGGTGGTTCCGTTGGGGTTTAGGGTTTAGGGCAGTTCTGGTTGTGTTATTTGACATATTGGTTTCGACCCTAAACACTTGAAGGGCCAATGTATGCATTTTTTTGGATACGTGGACTCTCCGGGAGGGGCATGAGAATAGTTGGCGTCTCCCCTACAGGGATTCCAATTTTTTCGTTCAAGAGGAAGCATGTGATGATGGCAGACAGGATGATCAGGATTTAGGATTTTTTGCGGTTTCAGGTTTAGGGATTCGAATTTAGTAAGGGTTTTTGAGGTTTCGGTTTTTGGCTCAGGGCTTCAGGGCTTAGGAACCCCTTACGAAGGACTCTCGCTTGGGATTCCTCTGAAACTGCATTCATTCCACTGACCAGTGTTTCGGATCATGGCCCAGAGACCCAAATATCACTTTTCTTTCAGGAATATTCCTTGACCCCTAAACCCTAAACCATATAATCAAAGGCATATGGGGGTTTCCGAATATTAGGGGTACCTTATCTTGGGGCCCTTATAATAAGAATCCTACTATTTAGGGTACTATATTTGGATCCCCTATTTTCGGAAACTCCCATATTCATATTCCTTAGTTAAAGGGATCGGAGTCTCTGGCCTCAGGTCGTGGGCTACGTGATTTGTCTCTTCTTGCCGCTTCACAAGGACTGCAGTGCCGCTTCGTTGGTGGAATCCGTGGAAACCAGGGTTCCGGAGTACCATGCTTAGGGCTTAGGGTTTAGGGTTCAGGGTTTAGGGTTTAGGGTTTAGAGTTACTTGAGTACCTTGATTGGTGGGTCCTGTTCCGCAAAATTTCCACATGACAAAAAGTCTGTATTTTTCATTGATGGATACTTTTGTCATTTGTCTCCCTGGAAATTTGAACTGTCCAGTAAAGCGGGAATTTGCGGCTATGTGGGCTTTGGGGTTCAGGTTTTTTTCATACAGGGTCATGGTACTTAGTAACCGCTCAGTAACCAGGAGGCGCGCCCGGCGGTTCCGTGTATTGCGCAGTGATTGTGCACTCTGCACAGTTTAGGGTGCCACTCAGCTTTGGTCTCTGTTGTAGTTCCTGTTTTGGGTTACCTTATAGAATCCTGCACTGAAACCTAGTAGTAGAGTCGGCAACCTTCAACTTTTTTTGGGTAGTATAGTCCCTAAATAATCCCTATATACCCAAAAAGGTTAACCTTTAGTTCCCCATGATACCCGACAAGTAGGGAAAATTGGCTAAACCTACAAGGGGAGAGTGTGAGCATCGTATGGTCATCGAAGCCTCAGGCCCCAGGGGTGCCCGGCGCAAGGAAGATAGGTGTACCTAGTGCAGCCCCTAACCACATGCATCGATAGACCCCTATCTATCTCTATGTGTATATATATATATACACAGAGGCATAGATGTATGTGTATATATATATGCACACCGCTAAACCCTGAGCCCTGTATTTCTTGCGCATGTACTAGGGCTTACGAGGGCTTTGCATCGCTTGGCTTAATTTCCACTGCTTTGGGTCTGATTGGTCTAGCCTGGCAGACTTCCAGACCTTCTAACATCTCTTAATTCAGGAATATACCCAAAATTGTCGTAGGATGCCCAACAGGATTTATGGTATATTCCTTACTTCAGCGATATTGGGAGGGCTGGGATCTGTCTTATCGTAGTACCGCAAGGTTGCACTGCATGGGAGTTCCAGAACATTAAGCACCCGACGTCGGAACCCACAGTCCCAACCCTAAACCCTAGGGTTTAGGGTTCAGGGTACCTACCCTAAACCCTACCCTATGCCCTAGACCCTGCAAGAAGATCACCCGCGTGTTCGACGCCAAACTTCCAAATGCTAAACCCCAGCTGCTAGGATCACTATAAGAAGAGCTCGAATCTGGTAGCCCAAATCCCCTTAATTAAGGAATATACCTTAAATCAGTAGGGGCTTCATATTATGATTTAAGCGATATTCCTGAACCAAGGGGTATTGGGCTCTCTGGGTTTGTAAGGATGCTATTCCTTTTCGGGTACACTCCCAGCACCCTGTTCCAATTATTGAGGCCCCTACAATGAACTATAGTCTTATAACATTCCTATTGCAAGTATGCAGGCCCTTATATAATTCACAAAATCGAGACAACACCCACAACCTGCCTCGCACCCTCTCGGAGCGTCAGGCCTACTACACCACGCTGGGCGGCTTAGTGCCGCTCGGTCTTGAATGGCTTTAAAGCCCCAAGCATATCTTAATCGTGTGTTGGAAGCAGGGGATCTGCTTTTCAGTTTGAGCATCCCAAACCCTAAACCTGAGGGAGCCCTACTCTAAGAACCCTAAGAGCCTTATATGACTCCCATATACCGCAAACCCTAAACCCTGTTTTTACCTTTCATGTTCAATTGTATCCTAGGGTTGAGGCTTTACGAACCGGGCTTTGGGGTTCATAAGGCTACGCCCAAACTCCTTGGATCGCCTGTGCGAAACCGCAGTATAGACGTTTGAATGAATAGTCACAGTTTCTCTGTTGTAGTCAGTCTTTGTATACTTGTAAGATAAAATCCCCCAAGCCATGTTGAAATTATTCAGGCTTGATGTTGCTCTAGGCCCCGCAGCCCATGTAAGATCCCCAAGCCCTGAAACCCTAAACCCTAAACCGCTCACCAAGGCGCGTGGTGGATGTGACGACCTATTCCCTTGCGGCGTACTATCACTGGCACAGCTCGACGGCTGGATTCTCAGAGACACTTTTACTGTTCATGCTAAGTTCCCAATAGTACCTACTATTGTAACTATTCTTGCTACGTATTATTGGTATTCGTAGCATTATTAAGTCTTGGTAACAGTATTGACATCAGTATTGAATTGTATTGACATGTTGTTTACTAGTATGCTTCTTTTTCTTATCATTACCATTCTTACTAATAGGCTTACTCTTCCTCTTACTCCTACACCTACTCTTACTCTTACTATTCCTCTCACTCTTAGTCTGCCTCTTATGCTTATGCTTGTTATTGTTGTTATTCTTATTCTTGTTCTTATTAGATACGACTACGATTACAATGTCTATCCCCGCTGCTATTTCTATTTCTTTGCGTAATTCCAACAGGGATAGCGCATCCCATATTTGTGAGTTTCTTAGTTTCAGGGATACCTTATCTTAGATGTGTGATCTTTGTTGATGTCAGGGATACCGCTTCCTGTATGTTGGGATGAGCTGTTGTTATTTCAGGGGATACCTTATTCCAGCAGTAGGGCGGCTTCTAAGCTTGAAAAGTGCCTTGCATCAGAGAGTGCGCCCTCTAAACCCCAAAGCTCTAAACCCTAAACCCTAAACTAAGAGTAGACTGGATCTGCGAGGGTAGAAAGGAGTTCAAAAAAAAAACCCTAAACTAAACCCTAAACCCCAAACCTCTAGACTCTAAGCCGGCTGAATGTTCTTGAGTTCCTTGCAAGGGTTGTAGAGCCCAGTGTTACGATTTGGGATTTAGGGTTGAGGGCTGAGGAATCGCGGAATAGGGTTTTAGGGGATCTGCAGTATGCTCTTAGCAGTCTGATTATGCTATATAGCCGCCCAGACTCCTGGATGAGCCAAAGCCATCGCGAAGATCACATGGGAGTTTCCGAAAATTAGGATTACCTTATTTGGGGGGTCCTTATAATAGGGATCTTACTGTTTCGGGTACTATATTAGGGTCCCCTATTTTCGCAAACTCCCACATGTTTCTGTTCCGAAGTAAAGTAAACCTGTATATAACAGTGCTGATGTAGCATGGGCAAGAGATTTGAAGCCGTGGTACTTCGATGTTACGCGCTGGAGCCTGTTTGTTTTGGTGTCTTTTCTGTTAATCCTCGATCCGGATTGACCACAACCCTAAACCCCTAAACCCTAAGCCCCCTACCCTAAACCCTGAACCCGAAGCCCTAAGACCTAAACCCCCAAACCCTGAAGCCCTAAACCCTAAGTTTTACAGGCAGGGCGACTAGGTGGCTGCCAATTTTTTTCAAAAGGGGTAGGCTATGACCATATAATGTAGGGGCCTGAATAAGTACTTATACTATTTTAGGGTTCCTTATTATAAGTATGATCCGAGAGTTCTGCGATTTCTTGGAGCTTGCCACTGAGCCTTCGCATCCAACCCGAAACCCTAAACCCTACAAGCCCTAAATCTTGAACCCTAAACCTTAAACGCGAAACCCTAAACCCCTGAGCCGTTCAATAAACGCGAGCAGAGGCATGCTGGTTCGCCGGAAGCTTGGCCACGGGAGGGAGGAGCTTTGTTCCAGAAATTCCGCCTAATGTAGGGGCCTTAATAATTGGAATAGGGTTTGGGGGGTTCCTTATGGTACCTATACTATAGTATAATGTATCCCCCAAACCCTATTCTAATTATTAAGGCCCCTATACTGGGGTCATAGCCTACCCCTTGTTGGGGGGTACCTACTTTTCTATACAACAAATCCTGACATCAAACGAGGTATCCTAAAGGGGGGTAGGGTACGACCAAGGGCTTGAAGGTTTATGGGACATCATAACTAGGGTAACAGTAGTTCTGGTTTCTTATAGCTCCAATTAGGGCCTTCGCAACCTGACTTACTCAGTCCCCTTATTAATCCTGAAGAGCCTTTAGCACTTCATAGAACCCCATAACCCCAATTCAGGTACTTCTAGTTTTACAAGTCGTCCCATGATCCTCCAAGTAGGTCGGGCTCTATGCGCAGGAAATCCTGTCCTGTTTCCACAGAGGCTCCCGCTGAAAGAAAATGGCTCAGGGTCCGTGAGGTCTGGGGTTGAGGGTTTGGGGTTGAGGGGTTTAGCGCTGAGGGTTCCCTAGGCATCTAAGGACTCATGTATTAAGGCTTTTGGGCCCAAAGACCACTACTATATAAGGCTTTTGGGCTAGTGTGATGCCCAGGGGTTTAGGTGTTTTCATTACACGCACTTCATCAGAGTTCACCCCTAAACCTTGAAAAGGGAATCAGGGCCTGTATACTCTGGGTCCTAGTATACCCCCAGGCCCCAAACCGTATTCTCACTGCTAAAACCTAAACCCTAAACTCTAAACCCTAAACCCTAAACCCTACACCCTAAACTCTAAACTCTAAGCCCTAAACCCTAAACCGCTAAGCCCATAGATCGCAGCTCGCTCCCCCCCCCGCCCCTCCCGAAGCCTCAATCAGCCGAAGGCTTGCATAGGCAACCCTTAGGGTTTAGGGTTGAGGGCTTAGGGTTTAGGGTTTAGGGGTTTAGGGCTTAGGGTTTAGAGTTTAGGGGCTTAGGGTTGAGGGCTTAGGTTTGGGGGTTTAGGGCTTAGGGTTTAGAGTTTAGGGGCTTAGGGTTGAGGGCTTAGGGTGTAGGGGTTTAGGGCTTAGGGTTTAGAGTTTAGGGGTTTAGGGCTTAGGGTTTAGAGTTTAGGGTTGAGGGCTTAGGGTTTAGGGTTGAGGGTTTAGGGCTTAGGGCTTAGAGTTTAGGGGTTTAGGGCTTAGGGTTTAGGGTTGAGGGTTTAGGGCTTAGGGCTTAGAGTTTAGGGGTTTAGGGCTTAGGGTTTAGGGTTGAGTTTAGGGCTTTAGGGCTTAGGGTGCTTGATCATCATATGGGTGGTTGTCAAAGTTATGGTCCCTGCTTGGGTACCTTAAATATTAGGTGCCGTAATATATTAAGGACCCAAAAGGGGACCCTATTCTTGACAACCACCCATGTACTCCCCCAAATTTCTATTGTTCGAGACCCAAGTGCCTGGTTGGTGTCTCAGTTCAACCGACCCGTAGGGTCCGGGTTGCATGTTCCTAAAGGACGACATGAACCTTGGGGTTTAAGGTTCATATACCGTATAATAGGGATTCATAGTATATGGGTATAGGGCCCCTACTTTTAAGGGTCATTTGGTCGTTCAGGTTGCCAGCAGCCGAAACGACTGTTTCCAAGACTGTGCCTTACTGAGGGTTCCGCATAATAAGATTTCTGAAACTGCCTGGGCCTAAACCATATGTAGACTCTGAATAAACCCTTGCCTGCGCGCATCCCAAAATCCCCAAATGTCAAGGGTTGAGGTTTTACAGTTCAGGTCGTAAGAATATGAAACCGAGCTTTAAATAGCACCACCACAGTGCCGGATGATACTCAACAAAGGTATGAGCACATGCAGAGCCAACAGTAGTAACTCAGCAGTACAAATGGCAGAAGCACCAGTGTGACAAGTTGAGTCTCTCGGTACCCAGGCCCGCAAGTTGCGGGGTGGTGGCGAGGAAGAGTGCAATGATGATGGCCACGCCTCGGTATGGCTACAGGAGAGCCGATGACAAGCTTCAATGTTCAGGGTTCAGGGTGACATTATATTGAAACATTCGGTGGCTTCTATATTAGTCTGGTGCACCTATCCCCACGCGGAATCATGCCAGCCCTGCCTAAGCCCAGTCCCAGAGGCTCCATCAGTTTGAGTGGTTTGGCTTGCCATGTTGGAAAAAGGGCTTGTGGTTTCAATACTTCTGAGGGTTCGAGGTATGCTGGGACCTTGTGCAATGACAACTCAAGCTTGCTTGCCAGAGTATTGGTGCTAGAAGCCACGTAAGACCTTAGCCACCCCAGCAACTTTGTGATGAAACCTTGACCCTTATAAAGCCTACGGCATGGAAGCGTGTGAGACCACTTGTTTCCCATAGTGCAGGACACACAGGCGTCGTTGGGGCCTCGGGATGTACTGACGCGTTGAGGGTTGGTTTAAGGTTCAGGGTGGTTCATGGGGTGTGCACTGAAGTTTTGATGTTAATACGAAGTTTGGTTCACTGCAAGAACTGGTAATCTTGCAGGTTTTCCTACCCTAGGCACAGGTGCTTTTCAGTAATTTAGAGCAAGCTGAGCAAGCTGCTAGTTGTTACTCTTGCTTCTTCTAGCTGTTCAACGGAAAGGTGATTGAATATCTGCCGCCTCCACCGAGGTTGTGCACGGAGGTGTCGGATGCGATCATCATGAGTGCTTGCTCAGGGTATGGGACGGCGCGGGCCCGGAGAGGGTTGCCATTGGAGCTGTTCAGAAGTAAGGCCTTCAGCCAGTGTCAGTTTACTGTAATATGGGGGATTTACATGTAGACAGGAGGGATGCTATTGTTCTGTACGATACTACAGTTATAGAAGGAACCGTCAGGAATAGTCCTACTTATACACCCCTTAATCCCCCAAAACCTATGGAGATAGCCTCCTTATAAGCCCTACTTTTAACTACCCTTGAACCTCCAAGCAGTATTTTTGGTTGTTCTGCCCCTGACTCGGTTTCTCCATGGGGACGGGTACATTGGAAGAGTCTCAGCTATTCAGCGGTTGCAGTATCCGAGTCAGAAGGACACAGGCTCTTTGTGCGGTGTCTATATATATATATATACATGTCTATATGTAAACATATATATTTATATATGATATCTCTCGCTCTCTCTCTCTCTCTCTCTCTCTCTCCCTCCCTCCTCTCTCCCAACGCTGCTGTGCAGCAGGTAACCGCACAGGAGTAGAAAGAAGCCTTCGGTGAAGAATGGTCAGAGAGCCGGAGAGATTGTTGCGCAGTTTGCGTTGGACAATCCGCCTGACATGAAGCGAAAGGGCCTGGTGGACTTCGCTCAGTTTGATTCCGTCTGGCCAGTTCGGGATGTCACTCACGTGTCGTCAAAAATCCGAGACGGAGATTTGGCGACGACTCCTGAGTTGTAACTGCATGCAAGGCTCCAGTCATTGGCCTCCAGTCACGATAAGTTGCCTCTGGAAGCCCGGTTACCCATTAAGTAGGAAGCTGTTTTTTGATCGCATACTTGCATATGAACTCATGGTACAACCACTGCCTGTTAGCCCATGTTAGCCCATTGTAGGCAACCGACATTCGTGCTTTTTGTAGAATGCACCCACAAACCCCATTAAGATCAGTAAGGCCCCCATATTCCATAGAATGCGGTGACCATGCAAGCTCGAAGTCTCCAACGCACCATCTAAGCAATCATGGACCCTTCATGCATCAGAATTGGGGTTTTGGGGATTAATTATCATAGACAACAGTAGATTACTTAGTAGGGTTTTGGTAATTATTTGTTTACTGTCTAACAGTATGTTGTAGCTGTCTACGCTTGGGGAGCCTGAGGCAACAGTAAGTGTTAGTAGTAGGGGATCAGCAGCCCGACAACTTCTCGAATCCCTGCAGCAGATCGCTAAACTCCATGTCTTTCAGCCAGAGGCCTAAATACCACAACAAATCAAAAAAATCAGGGTTTTAGATCCCAAATTCCATACTCTGGTTTGTGGTACCTACTGTTTCGTTACTTGGACAAAGCCCAAGCTTTTGCACCTGGGAGGCCTACACCATCGGCTTGTGCATGTTTCTAATCGTGCTTCTGAATGCCATTGCCCAGGCCTGATGCAGTCACGGCTTTATAGGTCCAGGGTTAAGTGGGCCAAGGACAGAGCCATTCGGCAGTCGTTGGCGAGTCTTCAGATGTTGCCTTGTGTCGAAGTTTTTTGGGTGCATTGACTTCAGGGTCTTCACTTCAAAGGTACAAACAATCAAGAACATAGGAGAATCTGTACACATGTGTAAGTTTTTAGCATGAATAGTGTGTATACAGATATTCATATGTTTATACATATATATATATATATATATATATTATTGTTTCCGCAGTTGTTTGCGTGTGTTTGTTGATGTGTTTCACACGACAAAGTTTACGCCCCTCAGTACCCACATTTCAGCACGCGGACTCTAAACCCCACATGTCTACATGGAAAAGTGGCTGTGTAGCAAAGGCTGAGGTATCCTTACTCCTATGGTTTTGACATGAACAGAACCTGTCGTTGTCCAACATCTGTTCAAGCCCATTCACGTTGCAAGCGTGACAAGAAACTGCTACGTGGGAGTTTCGGAAAATTAGGGGGGTACCTTGTTGTGGAGTCCTTTTACTAAGGTATCTACCATTTAGGGTACTGTATTAAGGCATTAGTGTCCCCCATTTTCGGAAACTCCCACATGCCAAGCCTTGACAGCTTCATATCATGTCCCAGCTCCAAAATCTTGTTACCCGCTCCTGGATCCCGTAAACCTGAATACCAAACTTACGAAGCTTTTCGATTGACTTTGAACTGTTTGGGTTTAGCGTTGAGGGTTTAAGGTTCCTGTATATGGGTGGTCGTCAAAATTAGGGTCCCTACTTGAGTCCTTGTTATAATACGGCACCTAATATTTAAGGTGCCCAAACAGGGACCATAGCTTTGACAACCACCCATATTGGCTTCTGGCCATGGCTGATTTCCCGACTTTGGTTGTAGGCGAACTAAGTAAGCCGCTAACCAAACCGGCTCCTAAACGGAAGTATCCGTAAGCTCCGAGTAGAAGCTAGAAAGCTGGAACATCGTATCCTCGTGCCTTCAAATCAAATTCTAGGCAATGCTATATTTCCCTAAGGGTCTAAGTACCTGATTATCGTATACTCTCCAACAATAGTAACCTATACAAGTACTACCCTGAACCCAAGTACCTAATTGTTGGGTCCTGTGGACCCTTAGGGTTTTGTGGGGTTCAGCAACATCCTAATCTTCGATAGCCAATGGGGCAGCTTTAAACCTATTTTGGCTTTATATGTTTGGTCTACCTGCGAAAGATTGAACTTTCTTGGCCGGGTTGCCGACAATGAGATGAAACCCTGAAAACCTACAGCCCCAAACCCCAAAATCCTAAATCCCTCAGCCTTCAAAACTAAAACCTTAAAAGCCCCTGCGCGGGAAATCGTCAGCTAGAGACTGCTCTATCCTTTTAAAGGGATCTATAAGGGTTCCTTGAAGGGTTCCTAAAAGGGATCTATAGAGTTTAGGCTCTAGGAGACCCCAAGATCCCTTAATTTAGGGATATATAGATAGATATACACTTTAAATTATAGTAGGATCCTAGTATGATTTAAGGAATATTTTTAACTAAGGAACATTGGAGTTTCAGGGCTTATAGTATCCTAAAACGTGAGGACGCAAGGTTTTGAGCGTAGTTCCCTGCTTCTGCAACCGACCGCGCTTCAAGCAACCGAGCTTCACGCACCATGCTTCAAGCACGACCACCACCGGTAACAAGCACCAACACAGCACCTTGCACCAAAGAAAAGGCAGGGGCTCATGAGGAAGTGCAATGGAGGGCAGGGTCGGTTAGGGTAGGGTAGGGTGGGGTATGGCGGGGTTTGGTGGAAACATGACAGGTAGGGGAGGGTGGGTGGGGTGGGCAGGCTTCAGATTCCCTACATTTTTTTTGGGTTGGGGGTGGTCGGGCATGGTAGGGTAGGGGTAGGGGGCTGGAGGTAAGGTAGGGTAGGGAGGGTAGGGTGGGGTGGTTTCGCAGAAAAGGGTGGCGGGGTAGGGTAGGGCAGTGCTCTAAGCAAGGGTGGGGTAGGGAGGGATATCTGGGTGAAAAAAGTGGGTGATAGGTTAGGGACAGGTAGAATATGCTGTTTTCAGAGCTGTGTTGGGTGATGCGGATCAGCATTGCTGCGTGTATTCGGTGGTGCTGACGTCGTGGCTGAGCCAGGGGTTTCTGGTGACTGAAGCAGGCGTGGTGCTTGAACCCGTGGTTTTGGTGACTGATGTCGGAGTTTTGGTGCGCGAAATCGTTGTCTCCCAGGTTTTGAGACTCATGAAGCAATCTTGCATGCAAGGCTGTAGAATCGCAGTTAGGGCTTTGGTGCTCCTTCAGTTCGCCGGTCGCCAGTCCCAGCCATCGGTGCTCTACCTGCCGGGGGCGGCATTAGGGTTTAGGGTTTTGGGGTTTAGGGTTTTAGGGTTTAGGGTTTTCATGGTGTGCAGTTGCAAACATGTGCACTTTCTTGCAGACGGTGGATGAAGTGGGCCACATCGCGCCCCAAGGGTTAGCCCTTGTGGGTTATTAGTACACACTAGACCCGGAACCCTGATCCCGTTGCATGTCGCTTTGGCCAGGGAATCACTTTCTGGCTCATCCAGCAGTACATGCACAAGCCGAAGAAGCAGCTCTTGCCTCAGTGCCTGTGGGCATATCGGCCAAAGCCATGAACCTTGAACATGTCGTCCCTGACCTACTATACCCTTTATTCATTCCAAGAGCTCGGACAACCTCAAACTTGTACTGCGGGTTGAGAGTTTAGAGTCGGGGGTAAAGGTTGTGTGTGGCATTTGTGTAGAATTATAGCATGCTGTCTATTCTAGAAATACTTATAGACATCTCCACCTAGCATGTCTGTATTAATATGCAGCACGGCAGGCAAAACCCTCCCCTAAGGTTTCTGATACTGATGATCCCTGTACAACACCTCGGACTGTGAAGGTTATCCTCAAACTTCCTCAAACTGGCACCCGTTCAGTCCAAGTTTCTGATTCATCACACTATCATTACAACAAGACGACTATCACGATGATGCTGAATAGCACAACAACATTCCTGACCTCAATGATACAGAACCCTGGTTTTTCTGAGTATTATGTTTTAGGGCTTCTTGTTTCTACATGTTGCAATAAGCCCAAAATCCTATTCTAGCTATCAGTATTTTAATTTGTTTGGGGTGGGAGCTTTTGTGAGTTGCTACCGACTCAAAAGCTTGAACTCTAAACTCCCGGGAAGCAACATGAACGCTTGGAGACGGGGTTATTCAATACTCGCCATGTATCTACTCCTGGACTCCTAACCCTAAGACTTAGCCCCCCAAAGCAGGTACTAGAGGGACCTAAATAATTACCTATACTATGTTGGGGGATCCTTATTATAACTATAGTATAATGGGCCCCACATCCCCACTCTAATTGTTCAGGCTCCTATGGTATTGTTTGTATGTTTGGACTCTTAGACTAATGTGAACACGAGAGGGCTCAGTCGCAGAGCAAGGTATCGGGAAGTGGCATTCTTCCTTGCACCTCTGGCTGCAGTAGGCTGCAACATCAAGTTTCAGGTTTTCGTGGTTTCGGGTGAGTCGCACGAGTCATGCACCACAGGCCGGTCTATTTCCGTATTCTCGTTCTGCCTCAAACAAGGCCCTTGCCAGAGCCACTGCAGGCCGGTCTATTTCCCTATGTTAGTTCTGCCTGAAACAAGATTCCTGCCAGCGCGGCTTCTCATTGTCTTGTCAGTCATGAGCATCGCAAATGACTCGTACACGAAGCATCGCGCACGCCAGGTTTGCAGCTCCCTGGACATACAGTGCAGTCTTATCGAGGATCGCCGACAAGTGTTTCTTCGACTGTGCTCATCTGTACATGCCAATGCAGCTTTCGGCGGCTGCAATAGAAGATCATCCGTTTGTTCATCCCAATACCATCACCGTCGCCGTCAGCAACGCCGTCATCATCGTCATGCACAGAATATAAGTCTTATCAACGACATGGCAGCCATTCTTGACATCGTCGTGGTCGGCCCCGACACGGCACCCAGTGCACCATCGTCATCATCATCACCGTCATCGCCCGTGGTATGTATACTGCACCATGACGTGACCAGCGCATCATGTGGCAGCGGCATGACCAACACAGAGACAGTGCCCAGTTGCCTATGTGGCGGTTAGTAAAGTAATTGGGATTTGTAAGGCAAGGAAGATTCCGAAGGTCCTACGGAACAGTCTCTCCGCAGATGGCTCGTGCTTTTAAACCCCAAACCCCACGCCCAAAGCCCCTGAATCATGTAGAATCCCTGCACCTGTATAAGGCCTAATTAGACCCCCACCTAAGCCCTGCAGCCTGAACCCTTGCGCTAAAACGCATAGTGAAATTCCTCAGCCCGAATTCGTTCGTCCCTGCAGCCGAACGTCAGCCTAACCCATGAAGTTCTTCACTGACTAAGAACACCCAACTCGAATTAAGCCGTTGCAGAGGATCAAGGGACTTAGTAGTTAGGGTTTTCATTCAAAAAATACCGTTATTGTCATGGTTATGACATTTGCCTGCTTCTTCTTACTATTCTCGTTCTTGTTCTTGTTCTCATAAGCTCAAATAAGATCCGTATAAGCGCACTCGGTTCGTCCCCTGATCCTCCAGGTAGGAGGTTTGATTGAAGGACGGTCAAGCCCAAGAGTCACCTCCAATCCGGCTTAGATCGGTTCGTCGGTTTAGGGTTTAGCGCTTAGGGGCCAGGGGTTTAGGGCTTCGGTACCAAAGCAAAGTTGCTTCTTAAGTCCTTATCCCTGAAACGCAAAGCCTCAACACACACACACACAAACACACACACACACACACTGACACTGACGCTGTGCAACACGAGTAGTTGACTTAACCCTGAACCACGACATCATCATCATCCACCCTAAACCCCGCAATGAACACCCGGCAGCGGACTTAGTAAGTGGGGTTATAAGTAGGGTTATAATTGGGGTAACTCCATTTGGGGTATTTATAGCTCTACTTATAACCTACTTACGAAGTCCCCTGCCCCTCCAAATAAGCTCTAAGCCGCCCGAGGATCTCATTGGCTGCATCCTCATGCTCATTTGTGTGCGGGCACACAGCGGGTTTGGGGTTTAAGATTGCTGCAGAGTCAGAGAAAAAGCCACACAGTTGAAGATGCACATAAGATGACTTCGACCTACGCTGGCTGAAATATGAAAGCACCACGAGCTGGACTTCAATCGAGGGGATTTAGCAAGCATTGTGACTTTTCGAGCGTAGCCATTTAACTTTAGTCGATTGTCTTGCTGGGGCGGAGGGGGCGGCCGGGTCGCATCATTAAATTCAGATCCGTCAGGGGTTCCACTGTGTGAAGGACATGCCTCAACGGGCAAGTCCAGATGTTCCAGCACCCTATACCCTAAACCCTTAACCTTGACCCCTAAACCCTAAACCTTGACCCCTAAACCCTAACCCCTAAACCCTATAAACCTTGACCCCTAAACCCTAAACCCTATAAACCTTGACCCCTGAACCCTAACCCCTAAATCCTAAACCCTAAACCCTAGAAACCTTGACCCGAAACCCTGAATCCTAAACCCTAAAACCTAAATCCTAAACCCTAAGGTTCAGAAATTATGCCTCGGATCCCTACAACCTCAAACCTCCCCTTTGAAACGGAAGCCCTAAACCATGAAGACACAAACTGTAAACAACCCCAGCCCCTGACACCCTAAACTCTTAATCCCAGAGCTTCATGGTTCAGGGCACCAGGGCTTTAGTAGTTTAGGGCTTCAGGGTTCGAGCTTGAGAGTTTTTCGATTTGAGGCTGTAGTGTTTTGGGGTTTGGAGCTCCGACATTAGGAGCTGGGCAGTGCCAACAACTTGAAGAACTTGACCAATGCCAAACGACCACTCAGAAATGGGAGTTTCCGAACATAAGAGACCCTAATATAATACTCTGAATAGTAGGATCGTGGTCATAAGGACCCCAAGATAAGGTACCCCGTCATTTTCGGAAACTCTATCAACGCTTATAGAGCCCTTTAAAGGCACCGTTATAGTAACCTTTTCAGGAGCCCTAAGGGTCCAAGTACCCGATAATCATATACTCTCCAAAGTCTTAACCTACATAGCTACTAACCTAAACCCGAGTACGTAATTATTGGGTCCTTTGGACCCTTGGGGGAACCCTAAGGTACCCCTAATTGTCGGAAACTCCCAAATCCAGCAACCCGAAGCCGCGACGCCCAAGCCTTGACCTGAAAATCTGAATCCCAAATCCTTAAAAGGACCCCAGACGGTTTACTTGGAGGGGCAGAGGGGACTTAGTAAGGGTTCTTAGTAAGGGCTCCTTAAAAAGATCTATAGGGCTCCTTAAAGGGATCTATGGGGTTTAGGATTTAGGGTCTGCTTGGAAGGGCAGGGGACTTAGTAAGTGGGGTTATAAGTAGGGTTATAATTAGGGTAACTCCATTTAGGGTACTTATAGCTCTACTTATGACCTACTTACTAAGTCCCCTGCCCCTCCAAGTAGGGTTTAGGACAAAACCCCTGAACCCCAGGCGAAAGAAATGTGAAGTCCCAGAGATGTAATATCCTCAGATGTTACAGAACCCCTCATGTAGTCTAGATGACTTTTCACGCGTACGCCTTCAGCCCTAAAAGGGAAAGGTACCTGCACCCAGGCCTCTACAACACCGAGTTTAGTGTTGTTAGGCAGTACAACAAGAAGTAGCCTTGCACCCAGAGCCCTGGACCCATAAGCCCTAGAGCCTGAACCTAAACACCACCCAAATTCGCATACCCAGTAAACACACCTCTAAGCACTAGCGAAACACTAACCCCACTAAACCCAGAGAACCCAATACCCCTTAGCTAAGGAATATACCTTAAATTGTAGGGGCCGTAATATTATGATTTGAGGTATATTCCTTAGTTACGGAGTATTGGGTTCTCTGGAAACACACCAAACAAAAACACAGCGACAAGGTGATTACCTACATCTTAGCGATCCAGAGGCTCAGTGGTGCAGCCGTCGAGGTTTGTTCTGTAGGTTTGGTGTTTAGGATTCAGCGCGTCGTGTTGGGTTATAGGATTTAGGAGTTAGGGTTTACAAACCAGCTTCAGACTTTGGGGAATTTCAGCCTTTACGGAACATTATGTTATGGGGTTGTGATTGGGGCTCGAGGGTGTTGAGTCAATGTGTTCGACTACGCAGTTTCGGGATAGATGTCTTGAGTGCGGAGGTTAGGTTTCGGGGCTTTCTGTTCAGCAACGCTGGAGATATTCAGTCTGGAGTTTTATATGCCGCGCTGCATGTTTGTTTATGTCTTTAGAGAGGACCCCGTCTGGGTCCCTTACTTCGAGGATGGAAAATGGCCCAGACGCCTTGACTAGCACGGTCCTGGTAGGGCTTAAGGCTTTCGGGAGTTGGTGTTTAGGGATTGGGACTTGGAAAATTCGAATCGCATAGAAGAGGCCCCCAGAGCGTTCCCAGTGGCAGCTGCTCTGTAGCCGCCTGAGCCAGAGTGTGGCTGGTTCCGGGCAATGTAGGCGCCTTAATACTATCGCACGTCTGGGGGGCACCTTATTTCAGTCATAGTATGATATACCCCCCAACCCCATTCTGATTATTTAGGCCCCTACATTGTCAATGTTTGCTTCAAAACCCATCGAGACCCTGAAAAACGGCCCTGGCACCCGCTAGCTTTCGGATTCAGAAACTTAGAAGCTCCATATCATGTCGTTCTGAGTCTGGGTTGAAATGTCCACATATTACCCTATACCCTAAACCTTAACCCATAGAGGAGAGGTATTGGATCCCTGGGACCTAGAAAGGTTTGTCGTGGCACGGCTCCATAAGTTGCGGGGTTCAGGGTCTCGTTTTCCTGACATCAACCCTCATTGCCGCCAGGGTTGGCGAAACCCATGGTATACCCCCCCCCCCCGACCCCCCCACCGCTGTTGGAACGATGTAGCTCATATGTGGGGTTTGACAAGGGACTTACCATTCCCGTGGAATGACTGCTGGGGTAAAAGGGCATTGAGGAGGTTTCTAGGGCTACCCCAGACAGGCAGGAGATGGTTGAAAGGACCACAAGGCACCAACGCCGGCATACCAGTGATGGGGCGGTCGAGAACCCGGAAGCCGAACTCATGTTCAGCAAGACGTTCAGCAAGACCTGTTTGCCTTGCCAGCTATCACCACGCCCGGCGACATATTGCCGCAAGCTCGGAATTCAGGCTTCGTGGTGGCTAATCCTGATCTCTCGCGGGTTATGGTTCTGGGCAAGCCGTCAGGTCGAAGTACCCAGAAAAATAGAAGCGTCTCGGGTGCCTGAGGCTCCCCTCATTAAAGGTCGAACTGGAATTGGGGTGGTTTTTAGGGTGGGCGGAGGGGGCGGGGGGGGGGGGGGGGGGGGGGGGGGGGGGGGGGGGGGGGGGGGGGGGGGGGGGGGGGGGGGGACAGGGCAGGCGGGTGGGGCTGGGGGTGGGTACTACTTGAGACTGAAGCCGTCGCATTTCAGTATTTGGACCTTGTCGGCAGGTTTTTGAGGTCTACCTTGAGCCACCAAAACATCCTTGTTTGCACTAAACCCTAAACTTAAACCCATAAACTCTTAATGGTATTTTCTGATAGGAACCTACGTTTAAAGTAGGGCGTGACCTACAGGCTCGACACTTTGCATCCAACACAGATGACCGGTTTTGAAAAACGGTGTGCATCCAGAATCCTGTGTTGGGGCAGCTATTGAATTGTAGGTTTCAGGGTTTAGTGTAGCCCTTTCGGCAGCCACTACTTGAGTCATATTCCGTCAGATTCTATGGTAATCGCTCATGCTGCACCTTTTTTGATGTTGTGCAGAAATGCTGGGATGAAGTAGGGCCATTTTCTGAAAGCTCAAGGCACTGTTGAAGTTTACATACCTGCCGCGACAATGAACACTGCTCACGTCTTGACTGGTGGTGTTTCGTAATGGTGAAGTCTAAGCTTGGGTGTTCAGCGGTGAACTTCGGTTGCCCTTCAATCGAAATCGTTTGATTTCCCGTGCTTGCGGTTTTGCCTAAACGTCAGTTCAAGGGAGTAAAGATTGGAAAACAACACCTAAGAGTCCAAGTATCCAGTAATCGTTCTCCTTTCCCATGCTAACCTACATATTTACCAACCCACAAAAGTTTCAACCAAGCAACCAATTATCAAGTCCGTTAGACCCTCAGGGGCACCTCCTTGTAAAGAGGAACTGTATGCATATGTACGCAGATATTTGTAGATGTATAGTCTATATATATATATATATATGTTATACATATCCTACAAAAAATAACTATATATATATATATATATATATATACACAAGAAGTATATATATATATATGTATCTATTTCTAATTGATATTATTGGTATTATTATTACTATTAGTAGTAGTAGTAGTAGTAGTAGTAGTAGTAGTAGTAGTAGTAGTAGTAGTAGTAGTAGTAGTAGTAGTAGTAGTAGCAGTAGTAGTTTAGGGCAAATCTCGGACCCTTAACCCACTTTCATTGAGAAAACCCCAAGCCTAAACTGTACTGGTAAAGGCTTTCTGCCGCATGGGCCAGTTGTGGTTTTTGGAATGGCTTACAGCTCTAACCCCTAGATTCCCTAGATCCTAAACCCTGAATGCTAAACCGGCCGAGGATTAGCACATCAGACGGCCAGTGGCCCAGCACTTTTGACTCCAAGCTGCTTCGAAGTCCATGCTGGACCCAATACCCTCGACCCTACCTTAACCCTAATTAACCTACCCTTTTTTAGGGTTCCTTAATATGAGTACTTTATATAAGTCCTTAAAAATGTAGGTTCTTCGGGGTTAAGGTAGGCCCTAGAAGCCCGAAGCCCTAAACCTCAAGGTGTATGGACCCTAAAGCCCCGTAGTTTTGAGAAACTCAAGGTCCCTGAGCTTCGATGGGTCTCATAATCTAGATCTCCGTTGAGGGTGATTCTATAGAGCATTACTATAGATCCCTTGAAAGAACCCTTAAACGACCCTGTTAGAAGGATCCTTTGAGGGTTCTTTAAAGTTTTCTATAAGGGATCTATAGTAGTTCTACAAGGGTTTCTGAGGATCAGGGCTTTTGGGGTTTAGGGAGGTTTAGGGTTTGAGTTCCGAGGCGTTTCCGAGTGGGCCTTGTTTTCACTTTTGTCGTGGTCTTTGGTTTCTTCTACCCCCAAACCCTAAATCCTAAACTCTAACCCCTAAACCCTAAATCGTAAACCCTAAACCGAGCTGCCATCGGCAAAATGGGACCCGTTTTTTGTTCCTAAGACACCGGGGAATCCTGGTATCTGGGGGCCTAGCTCAGGTACTGCCCCCCATACAGTAAGAGTCTACAAAAAGGCTACTATTAAGGTCCTAATATACCCATATTATGAACGTAAGAGTCTATAATGGGGCTATTGTTTCTGACCTAATATATCTATATGTTGAACATTCTTCAACTATTACTGAGTGGGGGCCGTACCCAGGGCTTAGCTAAACAAAAACCGAGCGAAAACCCTCATCTTCTTGGCGCAGAACGGGGGTTTCCGAGAATAGGGGACCCTAATAGAGTACCCTAACCCTAAGGGTCCAACTAGTCCTTATTTATGGTTTTTGGTACCTAGAAAGGCCCTAAAGTCCTACAATAGGGAGTACTTGGACCCTCTGGGTAAATGGTAGGATCCCGATTATAAGGACCCCAAACTAAGGTACCCCTAATTTTCGGAAACTCCCAAATTCTCCGGTAAAACCCATTAAAGATGGTCAAGGTGTTGTGCTTTGAATACCGGTTTTCCCTTTTACTTGAAGGATCATGGGACTTGGTAAGTAGGGTTATAGGATTTGGGGTTTGAGTAATTATAACGGTAGTTACCTTACTCATAACCCCAATTACTAAGTTTCATGATCCCTTAAGGCTCTTTACCAAGATTAGGGTTTACAGTAAATCCTACAAACAAGTAGGTTATCGAACCTGAAACTCAGGGGTTGGACTTGGAAGACTGCTTGTGTTTTTTTTGCACAGCTCGATGTCTTCATGAGAGTCTAGGGCTTCGGGCTTATGGGGAATACTGTTGGGGCCTTCATAAGTTTGAGGGCATGTTATACTACAGTTCCAACAAGGAAACCTCAAAACCCTATCCTAGCTATTAAGGCCCTCAGATTACTATACCCTAAACCCTACCTTAACCCCGAAGAACCTACATTCTTAAGGACTTATATAAAGAAATCATAAAAATGGAACCCTAAAAAAGGTAGGTTAATCAGGGTTAAGGTAAACCCTAAACCAAACTCAGCCCTTATGCCCTGTACCGAAAGCCCCACATCGCCTGTTTCAGGTATTGGTGCATCCTACGGTTACACCTTCCTGTACTTCTTCATCCTCGTGCACGCTCCTTCGGAGATACTATAAAGGCTTAAATGATTACCCACATTGTTTAGGCTTATGGTGTTCCTGGTTTATTACTTAGATTATGTGGTCACAGGATAGTATCATCTACCCCTACATGCTCTTCAAGTGTCCCATTCCGCCCTTTCGGGTTATTCAATGGTAGTTTCATGCTAGCAGTTTAAACCTGTAGTTCTGGTGCTTTAAACTCTTCTGTCCGTGCGGTTTGGGGAAGTCAGTCATTGCACGTCGTCGTGTTTGAGTTGCGGTGGTGGTGGTGGTGGTGGTGGTGGTGGTGGTGGTGGTGGTGGTGGTGGTGGTGGTGGTGGTGGTGGTGGGTGGTGGTGGTGGTGGTGGTGGTGGTGGTGGTGGTGGTGGTGGTGGTGGTGGTGGTGGTGGTGGTGGTGGTGGTGGTGGTGGTGGTGGTGGTGGTGGTGGTGGTGGTGGTGGTGGTGGTGGTGGTGGTGGTGGTGGTGGTGGTGGTGGTGGTGGTGGTGGTGGTGGTGGTGGTGGTGGTGGTGGTGGTGGTGGTGGTGGTGGCGGTGGTGGCGGTGGTGGGGGTGTTGGTGGTGGTGGTGGTGGTGGTGGCGGTGGCGGTGGCGGTGGCGGTGGCGGTGGCGGTGGCGGTGGCGGTGGCGGTGGCGGTGGCGGTGGCGGTGGCGGTGGCGGTGGTGGTGGTGGTGGTGGTGGTGGTGGTGGTGGTGGTGGTGGCCGCGGCGGTCGCGGTGGTGGTGGTGGTGGTGGTGCCTGTTGTACAGCAGTAGTACGGGGAGGAGGAGGAAGAGAGGCTTCGGGAGAGGTCTCGGAGAATCAGAGTGTATGAGAACTCCTAGGCTCAAAGCGCTGAATGCCCATATACCAGAACCCCATGCATGAAGGCGGGTGTTCCGCTTCAAGTTTCAGATCGCGGTGATGATCTTTCGACAAATAGCCACTACAACGCGCTTCAGTCAGGATGAAAACTGTTCCACACGACAGTGTCTGTAGCTGCTTGAGAAGAGTTGTTTCATGTAAACTCCAGGCAATGCTTCCGGGAGCTCAGCACAAGGCTGAAGTAAGCCCTTCCATCACGCGGTTTTTCAGGGCTAGAACTCACTAATTTTCCTGTCGCTCTAGTTACCAGCGACCTTCCACAGTGCTTACGGGCCCATAAACCCTAAACCTTTGAGGAGTCCAGGGGTTTAGGCTGTTTGCTTACACCATCCCGGAGGTCCCACTTTCCCAAAACGTCGATGTTACGGCCAAAAACTTGCAGCCCCGTGCCTTAAACCCGCAGAGCTCTAATTTTAGGACTCTTCACTTCAACTTGGTTTCGATGGACTAATTACACATAGTTGAAATATTGGTGACATTGTTCATTTTTGGTGTCCCACATAAGCTCAACTGCAGGTTATTTCGGTGGTGCTGCTGGCATCCGGATCGAACTCACAGGAGGCACGCCCGGGACAAAACTATAGAGGCCTAAATATTTACCAATATTATTCCTTAAGGTTCCTGGATTCCTTGTACAACTCTACTGTAAAGGCGCATACTTTAATTCTTAAGGCCCCTACATTACCTGAATACCGAGCACATTTCAGCCGCCTTTGCGAGCATTGGTGCCAGGACCAGTCGTGGCAATTACACTTATTGTTGTATTGCAAGTTTACTTGGATGGGCAGGGTAAGCAGGTGATAAGTAGAGTTATAAGTACGAGCTACCCCAATTATAACCCTACTTATAACCTATTTACTAAGTCCACTGCCCCTCCAAGTAGGTACTGTAGTCAACAGCAAAATCCTCTAAACCCCAAAGTAACCCTAAACCCTAAACTCTAAACCCCAAAGTAACCCTAAACCCTAAACTCTAAACCCCAAAGTAACCCTAAACCCTAAACGCTAAATCCTAAACCCTTACAGCATTCAACACTTGCAACTGAAGCCCCCGAAGCACTGGAGCTCCAATACCCTTCAACCGGGAGACCCCTTAGGTTCAGATTCAGGGTTTAGGGTTTAGGGTTTAGGGTTTAGGGTTTAGGGTTCGGGTTTAGGGTTTAGGGTTTAGGGTTTAGGGTTCAGGTTTAGGGTTTAGGGTTTAGGGTTCGGGTTTAGGGTTTAGGGTTTAGGGTTTAGGGTTTAGGGTTTAGGGTTTAGGGTTCAGGTTTAGGGTTTAGGGTTTAGGGTTTAGGTTTAGGGTTTAGGGTTTAGGGTTCAGGTTTAGGGTTTAGGGTTTAGGGTTCAGGTTTAGGGTTTAGGGAACTAGGATGCCCAGTAGTACCCTTATTCCCTTTTTGTAGTCCCAGGTTCCTTATACAATTACCCAATACCAAAGAGGGAGCCCTTTTTAGTCCTAGGTTACTGGGCATCCTAGAAATTCTGAGTCTTAAAAGCCCCTTCGAAGCCGGAAGACTCCGTGCATCCCGAAGATGTGAACTCAGGGTTTAGGGTTTAGGGTTGAGGGGTTTAGGGTTTTAGGGTTTAGGCTTAGGGTTTAGGGTTTAGGGTCTGAACCCTTAGCCCTAAGCCCGAAGCCTTGAAGCCTTAAACCACTACCCCAAAGCCTCAACCCTAAACCCGGCAATACTTGGGGGCTCTTCGGTGAGGGTTTAGGGTTTAGGTCCCTAAATCCTAAACACTTTCGATCCGAGAGTTAGCCTCTGGAGTTCGGGTCTGCCGCTGTGTTTCTTCTTCCCACTTGCTTGTAGGACTTTTCCCCAAGGGTCCTACCCAAAAATCGTATACTCTCCAAAATCCTAACCTACATAGCTACTGTCCTGAAACCGAGCACCTAGATATTGGGTCCTTTGGAATTTTGGGGGTTTAGGTTTAGGGTAACCATATTAGTAACTCACATGAAATCCCCGAACAAGAACCCAAGGGGGGGCTTAGGATGGGGTTCCAACCTTGCGTTAGGGTTCTGGGGTTAGGTTTAGGGTAAGGGGGCTTAGGATGTACGGGTTGGGTGCATGAGTTAGTTAGAGGCTTCATCCAAACAAACCTAGGCCCAAGAGGGGCTAGTATCGGAGTTTGAATAACATACCGTCTAGCCCCAAAGCCAAACCCCATTCTGACTGAGGCTCCTACAGTACTACATTAATCACAGCTACGTATCCACTTCCTCACTGACCCAAAACACTGCACCCTACTTGGAGGGGCAGGGGACTCAGTAAGTAGGTTATAAGTAGAGCCATAAGTACCGTAAATGGAGTTACCCGAATTATAACCCTACTTATAACCCCACTTACTAAGTCCCCTGCCCCTCCAAGTACTCCCTTATAATTACTGGTTTTCCAGTATACCTGTGGACCACAGCACAAAGATGAAGCCATTTGCTCGGGAAACCTAGATCCAGCTGTGGGTTCAGCGACTCGGGATTGGGTTTTCTGGGTTTGGGTTTGGCGTTTAGGCTTGGTACTTACTTACCTTTGGTTAGTAGGGAATGGAAGAATGGTAGTTATAGTAGTTATAGTTGTACCCCATTCCTCCATTCCCTACTAACCAAAGGTAAGCTTAGGGAACCCCTAGCAAAAATCAAGGTCCGCCGAGCATTCTGAAGATTGGATATTGCAGTGAAACATACAGAAACCCGAAACCACCTGAACACTGACATCATAAGCCTGGTAAATCCAAAGCCACGAAATTGCATCCTAAACCGAACAACCCCGATGCCAAGAATCACACGACCTTCTCAAAAGCCTGACACAAATACGGGAAGGTGTGTACTTGGAGCAGGAAGACTTCGCTTGTTGTTGAACCTTTGGGTTTTCGTGACGGTCGCGGACCAGTAGGAACAGAGGAGCGAGAAACAGCAGGGGGCAGTCTTGTTTTGAGTCTTGAGGAGAGTAGCCAGAAGTGCCCGTGGAAGCTTTGCAGCCTTCACCGCGAGCTTGTCACTGCAGTGATGTGATGGAGCCCTAAACCCTATAAACCCTAAACCCTAACCGTCTTGCAGCAGGAAGTGTCTTCGCTGTGGAAGGCGAAATGTAATCCTGCTTGTTTCCTGATGTGCATCCGATCCCACATGTGACCGTCGCATTCCTCTCAAACCTTGGAGGCCTTGAGTCATGATAGCGCGCAGGTAAAACAATCCGCGGTGGATGTGCGTTGCAGTGTGATTGAATCGTTGGAGTGATCATCAGAAGGTGTCAGATTACAGTGGCAGCGGAGCCGGTGAGCTCCAGCCCAGGGCCATGAATGGACCCCCGGGCACCTTTATGGGCGCCTGGCAGGGAAAAGGATTCGGCCTTGGGGTTCCCGGCCTGCCTCCTGGTCCGGTGGCGTTTGCGACTGGGAGACCGTGTCAGGCGGGACTGCGACCTGGTACAGGGACAACGCCTGTGAGCCCAGCGTCTCCGCTTTTCCCAGGACAGCCGCTTTTGGGCACTCCGGCCCCAGCGACGTCGGCATCTTCTTCTGCAAATGTAGACGGTGGTGCTCGAGCTTCGGGAGATGTGAGGCCTGCTGCTGTTCCTGGCGCCAGCGTGGCTGGCAGTTTGGCAAATGTTTTGGGAACTGCCGGGCTACCCGGGAGTTCGTCGACTGGAGATAACCCCAAAGGGGTGCAAAGTGCCTTTGAGTTGTTGGGCCGAAAGGCCCCCGCTGATGGAGGTGCTCTTGGACACAAGTGATGCGATAGTAAAGGCGCTGACGATGGCAGTTTCAGGTGAAAGGAAGATGGTTCCTTCGTGGTCGGGAAGCACCTCGACTTTGCGAGCTTGGTTGCGGCAGCTTAGCTTCTGGGAGTTGGACAATCAGATTCCTCGGAAGAGATGGGGGGTCAAGCTTTTCCAGGCTTTCCCAGAAGGCAGCATTCCACGCCGAATCACAGAGAGCTTGCCTATGGAGGTGATCCTTTCGGAATCCGGCTACGGGGCCATCTTGACGTCGGTGCTGGAGAAGTTCAAGCCTTACTTGGAGGCTGCCGCCCCAGCGGCAGTCGATGCCTTCTGCTTTCAAGGAGAAAGATCGCGGAATGAAACCTTCGCGAACTTTATTGCGGCCAAGGAATTGGCGATGCAAGAAGTGGAGAGCATGGTCGGCGAGAAAGTGCCGGACAAGACTGCCGGGAGAATCTTGTTAAGGCAGTCGAACCTCACCGAAGCCCAGCGAGAAACTATGGCGATCAAGCATAACGCCTTGCTGGGGTTCGAGGAGGTGGCTCGGGCTCTTAGGCCTTTGGACCGGCCTGAAGCCTTGCTGAAGCCCATGGCCGCCACCAACATGTTGGCCACCGCAGAGCAGTCCATGAACTACTGGATCAACGAGGAGGATTCGCAAGAACTCCCCGAGGACCAGGGCCAGCTGGATGGGCTGCCCGAGGAGTGGACTGACTACCAGGAGGCGGCGAGCTACTACGAGGAGCCCGAGTGTGACGAGCGTGGTGAGCCTCTTTTGTTTTATGAGGCCGACAGGGAGTACGACGAGGAGGAGGCTCTGTATATTTGGGCCTACAACGATGCCTACCACCAGATCCATGCCGAGATGCAGGGCATGGACAATACTGCGTACCCGGCCTACCAGGATGTTCGAAGAGCTGCAAGCGCGCCGAAAGGGGCGCCAGTTCTACAAGCCGGCTGAGCAGAAGGGCAAGTCAAAGGGCAAGTCGAAGAACCGGCCGCCACAGGGTCGTTTCGGAAAGGGGCGAGGCCGCTCCTCTAGTCGGCCTTTCAAAGGAAAGGCCGTGGACACAACCGCGGCACGGCAGACGACCTCTTGGCGAGGACTCGGTGCTACAGTTGTGGCGAGCTTGGTCACTTCAGCAGAGATTGCCCAGGCAACCAGCAGGTGCAGCCGGCAGATGGCAGGACCAACTTTGTGGTCAGCCAAGGCCAGGGTGCATTGAACCGCACCTTCGTGGCCTCAGCGAGTTCGGTGACTTCGCGTGCGATCTGTGTTTTCGCAGGTGTGCGCACTGGAGCAGGACAGGGTTTGGTGGACACGGCTGCTGAGGAAGCCGTGATCGGCAGTGAGGCCTTCTCCAGGCTCCGGGAGACCCTGCAACGGCAGGGACTGCGGCCAGTGCAGGTGCGTGGACCAACCGGGTCCTGATCTGGGATTGGAGGCTCTGCTCAGATCCTCAACATCTGGGACGTGCCGATTGGTGTGTGCCAGACCAACGGTCTCCTGCGGATCACAGAGGTCAAGGACACCGAGGGCTTCGAGACTCCTCTGTTACTGCCGGTTTCTTACCAGGAGCTGGTGGGCATGGTCATAGACTTCGAGAAGGAGGAGGTTCGAAATAGGCAAGGCCGGGCAACGCCCATGCAAAGGTTGCCCTCGGGACACCGTGCGGTGTCGGTGGTGGAGTTCAACGGTCAGTGGCAGCTGCCTCGCGAGCTTCAGCAGCACGGCCGTGATCCTTTTCAGCTACCACGGCAGCCGAAAGTGGCAGTGAAAACGGGGCCCGTGCAAAAGCATCGCGGTGTTACAGTGTGGCTACAGCTTTGTTCACTAGCGGGCCCTCGCTCTAACATGGTGCTACCTTCGGAGTGTGTGCCACTTGAGTTGCAACCCCACCTGGAGCCCACGCGTGTGACTTTCCTGGACGCTTTGCCCGGACACATGCCCTATGTGATCAATGATGTGTGGCATGGTAATCTGGGTTCCCGTAGGTTGGACGCTCCATGGACCGGCACAGTGGTGTTTCAGCAGGTTAGTGCAACTTGTGCCTCAACCAATGCCCCACGAACTCCGTCTCTGCCGCCCTCGTCTCCTACAGCATGTACTGTTTCGCTTGGCCAGGCTTCATCTTCGAGCTCTCCGATGCAGCCTGGATCCAGCCAGGCGCCTCAGCACTACATGTTGGATAGTGCAGAGCATGATTTGGAGGGTGTGTTTTCTTCAGTCGGGGAGGCGGTTGCTGTGAATGCTACGGTTTCGCCTTCTCAGTCACCACCAAATCATGTCTGGCAGCGTGTGCGTGAGAAGAGCAGCAAGTTGTTTGGCGTGTTGCACAGCGGTGCTCGGCGGCATGTTCCAGCACACTCGGCCTTCTTTATGGCTTGGGCCCGAGATCGAAGCAGGGAATCGCCGATGCTACGCAACTTTGCTCGCGTGATCTTCGCGACCTCGTGCCATGCAGCGGCGAGTGCAAGAGCTTGTGCAAGGCGAGCTGGCGGCTCAGACTCGTCAGGGCAGACGCCGGCGGGGATCCGACTGGTGTCAGAAGGCATGGTCTCGACTGGTGCGAATCATCATCCGGATGATTGCGACCACCCGCGACCAGATGGTGATCGATGCCCTCGACCGTGGAGCCGGCCTCGAGCTCAGCGTCGTCGGCTGCTGCACCCCCGCCAAGACCGTGAGCTGGCAAGGACCAGAAGCCCATGAAACAGGGCATCGGCCACCAGCTTGCTCGCAGTCAGACGCAGAAGCAGTGGCCTCAGGAGCCCGAGGCATGTCAGCACCCGGAGGACCAGCTGCGTATGAGAGGCAACCAAGCCAAGCACTGGTGGGTGTGTCTGAACTGCGGGAGCCGCTGGGAACGAACCGAGGCGGCCATGGTGGTTCCTGGACGGGGAGCCCTACCAGAACAAGTTCGGCCGGTGTATCGTGCCACGGCTCCGCCCAAGCTTCTGCCTCCGCCGAGGTCTCGCTCCAATCTGGGATCGATCACCTTGGAGCAGGCCCAGTCGGGACCACCGGTGCCACCCAGTTCGAAGACGAGAATGCCGAGGTCGGACTGGCGAGTGGAGGCGACGAACTACCAGAGCGCGGCGATTCCCCCGAAGTTCGGCGTACCCGGACGGCATGTTCTCGAACGAGCCCGATTACCAGAACATGGCGAACCCGAGCGAGCACGTCGACAAGTCCGGTTCTACGAGGGCCCTGGCAGTGCAGCCCGGGTCTCAGATCAAGGACTTCGAGCGGGTGGATGCTCGGGCAGTGATGCGGTCGTCCCCGCGGGAATGGGCCGACTACCAGCAGCCCAGCGATTTGCGAACCGAGGGACCAATGGCGGCGAGGCGTTCGAGAAGCCTGCCGGCCGGAGTGGTTCCCACACAGGAGCGTTCTCGACGGCGTCAGGTTCAGCTGCGGGAGGGTCCGGCGGAGATGTACGCCATCAACGACAGCGACCAGGACTCCAGCCCGGACAAGACCCCCGGATCTTTTGCGATGGTCGAGAACGCCGATCAGGACGACTTGTGAAGACCGAGCCTTCCCTGGAACACACGACGTTTACCATGCTGGAGAGTGCACCCTTGGCGGTGCGACAATCCATGGCACGACGGGGCTACAACCTTTTCTGTGGCCTTGCGATTCTCCTTTCGACTTTTGGCCAGACACCACCCTTGGCAGCATCGTTGAATGCGAAGCTCCCCTTTGACCGGCTGGAGGCTGGTTACGAGCCGGGTGGAGGGTCTGATGGTTTTCACTTTGTTTTGTTTCGATTACCTGGGCGCGAGTACAGTGACGTTTTTCTTGGCTCCTTCTTTTGCAGTTCGGTGTGCAATTTGCCCCGACCAATGAAGATCTTCGTCATGGCTGAGTTGGGCAAGAGCAGTGGTGATCAACAAGATAACGAGAAATCGAGGCCGAAAGAGACTATCCAACCAGTGAGCAAGACAGCTTTCGGCAGCTCCACCACGGCATCTACCACTACCACTTCACGGCACCAGTTTGGAAAACAACAGCCTACACCAACGAGGGTCTCTGGACAGCGACTAGGGCGTAGGACCACATGTACCACGACGGCATCTACTACCACTTCGCTGCACCAGGTAGGAAAACAGCAGCCTACACCAACGAGGGTCGTTTCCACGCCTATAGCTCAGGTGTCTCCAGTGGTGACGCTCATCCAGGATGGTGGCCTCTCAGATGAAGGTCCGTATGGCGGTCGTGTGCTTAGCTTCTTGTACGCCTGGGACTTTCGTCAGCGTCACGACCGGAGTCGAGCAGTGGAGGCGGTCAAAGAGTGTTGTCCAGCCTTCATGGCCGGTTTCGTTACAGGCTGCAGTCGAGATACCTTTGTTGCAGCAGCCAGGGAACAAGAAGCACATGGGCGACTGTTTGCTCTTGTCTGTGTGCCTAAGGCGGTGCGAGGCCTTTTGCACCAGCTACCAGGTGCCTCCACAGTGTCAATGCAGTTGCAGGTCGGCGGCCCGCGCCTTCATGTGGTGGTCAATGATAAGACGTTGGTCCGGATCTTTGAAGACGTGGACTGGCGTTCGTGCACATGGGCCACCGCCGACCCCGAGGACCTCGACCTTTGTGTTCGGTCCCTTCTTCAGTGCCTGTGCTTCTCCAAGTTCTGCGATGGTGTCAACATGCCGCAAATTCCAGATGTCAAGGCGGCCGCAGACAAGCACAGGGCAGCCTTCGACGGCCTTGTACTGGCCGTGCGCACCCAGACGGCGGCCACAATCCTCGCTTCGGTTGCTTCCTACCATCCGGGAGGAGATGAGTGTAACCTGGCATGGTCAACCTCGCGACCGAATTCGTTTTCTGCGGCACAAAGCTCAGAGGAACCCATGGACATGGACCAATCTGATGAAGCTGTGCGAGAAGTACAAGCCAGTCTGCGACCGGTGACGGAGAATGCCAAGGTGGCCGAAGCAATGGAGAACGTGGATGATTTCCGCAAGCATGAAGAGACGGGCCGGTTTTCGCTGCACCCTCATCTTCGTCGAGAGCTGTTCAAGGTGCACCGGAACCTCAACCACCCGGCCAAGGACGTTTTCTTGCGAGCCCTAAGGCACTCTGGAGTACGGGATGATGTTCTTCAGTGGGTCAAGGAGTTCTTCACCTGCCCTTTGTGTGAGGCATCGAAGCGCTCTCTCCCAGCACGACCCGCGCACCTGGCCAAGGCCCTGGAGTTCAACGCCATTGTGGCGGTGGACCTTTTCTACATGAACCTCTTCGGGGCCGAGCAGATCTTCCTCGTGTGCATCGACTATGGCACGGGCTACTTGCAGGTGGCGAGGTGTGCGGACGCCAAGGCTATCACCGTCCGGCAAGCTCTGAGCAAGTTCTGGGTTGCACCTTTCGGAGTTCCGGAACTTCTCATTTGTGACCAAGGACCTGAGTTTGCCGGTGAGCAGTTCGTTGAGTTCATGTCCCAGATGGGTGCGGCGATCCACTTCACGGACGGGATGTCGCCGTGGAAGAATGGAAGGGCCGAGCGGGCGGTCGGCACTGTGAAACAAAAGCTCAAGACGGTGCTCCACGAGACAGCGGCCACGGCCGAGGAGTTGGATCTGGTAATCGCCCAAGTGGTCTCGGCCCACAACAGCTTGTTCGACAGGCACGGCTACTCGCCAAATCAGCGGCTGTTCGGCCGCTCACTGCGGCTACCCGGGTCACTGATGGCGACCGATAGATGGGATCAAGAGATGCTCCAAGCAGCCGCCGGAGACCTGGTTCAACGAACCTGGGCTATCCGAGATGCCTCTCGAGCAGCCTGGCTGAAGGAGGACGATGTGACCTCGGTGCGACGAGCTGCAGCAGCTCAGACCAGGCGGTCTGACCTCCACTCTTTCGGCTTCCAGCCTGGCCAATGGGCGTTTGTATGGAGGCGCACCGACAACCGCTTTGGCTGGGTCGGACCGGGTGTTCTCATTGCCATGACACCCGGCGGGAACTCCTGGTGGATCAACATGAGGGGTCGCTTGTGGAAGGTTTCGTCTGAACAGATGAGGCCTGCGTCTTCCGAGGAGGAGCTCGGTGCCGAACTGATCGTTGAACTTCATCGGGACCTCCTCGACCAAATCATTCAAGGCGTCAGGACTGGCTATGAGGATGTGACCCAGGAGGAGAGTCCGCCTAGCAACCCAGACGAGCTGTTCCCTGAGCTCTTTGCCGAGTCGGACTCTGAGTTGACGCGACCTCCTCATGAGCCTTCCCAGGAGAACCACGGAGGTGATGATCAAGGACCGGCTATGGCCGAAGTGGACGACGCCTCCGAGGACTTGACGACCACCGTTGGCGATGTTCGAAGTGAGCGAGCACTTCCTTCGGAACCAAATATGAGCCGGCGACAGAGCGCTGTTTCAGTTCCTTCAGCGAGTCCGGCGGCGTCTACCTCCGAAGTCCGGCGGGCCATTCAGGTCGACGAAGGAAGCAGTGCTCCTATGCTACTGGGCCCGGTTCGTGAGCGAGTCGGTCCTCCTGTGCACAACCCGTACTACTCGCGGGAAGGCTTCCTGGACGAGGCGATCAAGCCGTCCAACTATATCGAGGTGATGCAGTTCGATGGCCCAGAGATCTCAGGCATGAACTACCTGAACTGCTCTGGACCAAAATGGATCAAGCGCTTGACTTCCGGGCGCAACCACCTCGAGCCTCAGAAGCCCACCGTGCTGTTCCAGGCGACCGAGGCGGAAGCCAGCTACTGCGAGCGGGACAAGTGCATGTACCTGGCTAAAGCGAAGACTTCGTTCGGCCAGGTGGAGTTTTCGAAGCTGCAAGGTGCAGAACGAGAACTTTTCAGAAAGAGCCGCTCGAAGGAGGTCGATTCCCTGCTGTCCAACAAGGCGATCCGTGTTCTCTCGATCAAGGAGTCTGATGAGTTTAGGCGGCAGCACCCTGAACATGTTCTGGAATCGAGATTCGTTGATCGCTACAAACCTACGGCTTTGGACTCCGTGGACATTGAGCAGGCGAAGAAGGCAGCCATCAACGAGGGCGACTTGACTCCGCTCCAGCTCACTGAGGACCGCAGCCAACCGAAGTCTCGGTGGTGTGTCGTCGGGTGGGCGGATCCACATGTTCACCAGATTGAACGCTCGGCACCCACGCCTTCGAGTGCTGCTGTGAACACTGTCTTGCAGCTGTGTGCAAGTCGTCGATGGACGGCGTTTGTCAAAGACGTGAAGACAGCGTTTCTCCAGTCTCGTCCGACCGATCGCAAAATCCCTCTTGCGTGCAATCAGCCAAGGGACGAGTCCTTGCCGGGACTGGATCCACGCCAGTTGATACTTCTCTTAACAGAGGTGTATGGGTTGGTCTCGGGCCCTAGCTGGTGGCGCTCAAGCTTTTTGCAGAAGACCGGGAAGCTCGGCTACAAGATCTGCCCATATGAGCCGTGCATCCTCGTTCTTCCTGCGGATGAGCCCAACCAGAGCACCCAGGGCGTGCTTGTCATCGAGGTCGATGATGTGATCGAGGGTGGAGACCAACACCACAGGCAGCAGATGGCTTCTCTCGAGGACTCCATCACCTTCGGCAAGGCGATCAACCTTCAGGAAAAGGAGTCCAGCTACGCGGGCAAATCCCTCAAGCAGTTGCCCGACTTTGGGTTCGAGATCCACATGGACGAGTACATCTATTCACGGATGTCTCCCGTGTCCTTGACGAGGAAGGTTCTCAAAAAGGACGCTGCTCAGTGCCCCTTGGATGAGGCAGAGAAATCACAGCTGCGTGGTGTGCTGGCGACTCTGACATGGGTCGGAAGAGAAGGAAGACCTGACTCTGCTGCAGCAAGCTCAATTCTTGCCGCAGCGTTTCCTGAACCGACCGTGGAGACCATATACCTGGCAAATGAAGTTGTGCGGCAGCTTAAACAACATCCAGTAAGGCTCCGCATTCGACCGATCCCGGAGGATGCCGTGAGGAACGTGCTCATCTCTGACGCGGCCTTCGACACGTCAGGCCGGGAGAAGTCGCAGCACGGCTTCCTTTTGGGCTTTACCACTCCGGACCTCAACCTTGGAAAGCCGGCCCCGCTGAACCTCATGCTGTGGCGATCTCGCAGGCTGCGGCGAAAGGCAGCTAGTTCGATGTTGTGCGAGGCTCTTTCGCTTTCCGCAGCAACGGCTTGTTTGGAAAAGCAAGATGCCTTGTGGGACGCGCTCCGGCTTTCCAGCTTCAACCCTCGCCAACGGCAACGACAGGAGGAGGAGGTCTTAGAGCTCCAGGGGCGCTCCACTGTCATCTCCAGCGAGTCCGACCTGTTTCGGGACCCGCGCAGTGTCGTGGTCATCGACGCCAAGGCGCTCTACGACAGCCTCCTGAACGACCAGGCGGGCGAGTGTGAACGATCGAACCTCGAGATTGCGGTGATCAAGGAGAGCCTTCAGGTGTGCAAGTCACGACCACGCTGGGTGCCGCACAACATGAACCCAGCGGATGCCTTGACTAAGTATCCAGGAGCGCACCTTGAACCATTGGTGCGACTCCTCAAGACCGGAATGTTTCAGGTCACAGATGAGCAGCAAACGCTGCAAGCCGGAAAGCAGGGCCTGAACAGGCAAAAGCTTTCGAAGTGGGAGGACGCATCAGGAAACTTTCAGTTTCAGGGGGCTGTGGAAGGCGAAATGTAATCCTGCTTGTTTCCTGATGTGCATCCGATCCCACATGTGACCGTCGCATTCCTCTCAAACCTTGGAGGCCTTGAGTCATGATAGCGCGCAGGTAAAACAATCCGCGGTGGATGTGCGTTGCAGTGTGATTGAATCGTTGGAGTGATCATCAGAAGGTGTCAGATTACATCGCAGCGCGAAGGCTTACTCAGGGGCAGCTCGGAGATCTCGCTAGTCATGCCTGCGTCCTGGGTGTGTAACTGCACCGGCCGAACCAGGCATTGGGGTTTAGGGTTTAGGGTTCAGGGTTTAGGGTTTGTTGGTGCTCCCCATGCCCATCTTAGCCAAAGCCAGACTTCGCGGATGGCATACTCCGCTGATCCTGGAGATCGCAGCTCAATGCAAGTGTTGTTCCTTCGCCTTGTAAGCACAGGGCTCCATGGTCGCAATGTCATTTCAGGTGCCGGGTCGAAGATTCGGTGGCCCTTCTCAAGCTGGGTGTTCTTGGTAAGGAACTTAATTTAAGTTAACATAATAAGGAAACCCTATTATTTACGATAGATCCCTATTATGGTAACTTAAATTAAATTCCTTAACAAGAACCCAGCTTCTCAAGACCATGGAGCGTGCAACCTAGACTTGACAAAGATCCCGAGCGGTTTTGCAGTCGCCCGCCTGTTCGCTGCAGCCATGGAGCCGTCGAGGACTGGCAGCTTGAACGTGGATCCTTATAGGGTTCCTTCAAAGGGATCCTTATAGGGTTCCTTTAAAGGGATCCGTACAGGGTTCCCATATAGTAGCTAAAGTACCTATATAGGGAGCCCTTTAAGGCCTAAGTACCTACTATGTGGACACATGGAGCCTTAGGGCAATCCCTTGAACCCAAACCAAACCCCAAAGCCCCAGATGAAGCCTTAAACCAAGCCCTAAACCCCTATAAACCCCTAACCCCTAAACCCTAAACCCTAAACCCCTAAACCCCTAAACCCCTAAACCCCAAACCCTAAACCCCTAAACCCTAAACCCCTAAACCCCTAAACCCCCAAACCCTAAACCGCCTTGAAAGCCCCATTCACGTCGCTTGGAGGCCCGGGAAGCCGAGCTGCGAGCCGGGGACCTCGAAATTGGGTTCTGCCAGGTTTAGTTGGGAACTATATGGGTTTAGGGGATAGGGGGTTTGGGGGTTGAGGGGTTTAGGGGTTTATGGATTTAGGGTTTAGGGTTTAGGGAACTGGGTTCTGCCAGGTTTAGTTCGGTACTATATGGGTGGAGGGTTTCAAAAAGGGATCCTTAAAGGGTTCCTTAAAGGGATCTGTAAGGGTGCTATAAAGGGTTTAGGGTTGAAGTTTCATGTGGGTGGTTGTCAAAATTATGGTCCCTTTTCGGGTACCCTAAATATGAGGTGCCGTATTATAATAGGGATCCAAAAAGGGACCCTAATATTGACAACCACGCATATAGGGGCCTAAATAACTACTTATACTGTTTTGGGGCCCCTTAGTATATTTATATGAAGGCCACTTTAAGGGGTTTAGGGTTTGGGGATTAGAGGTTTAGGGAGTAGGGGTTTAATATTTAAGGTTTAGGGATTCGGGCTTATAGGGTTTTGCCAGGCTTAGTTCTGCAAGGCGTGTTTTTGGGTTGCTAAGGGTTCTGTGAGGGTTCTAGAAGAGGTTTCATTCGCATTGCGCGCCCGTCATGGGGTTTAGATTAGAAGCTGCCCCCACCCTGTAATAGAAGGATTATATTAGGGCCCTACTATATTCCTATTATACTACTATGACAGGGTGGGGGCCCCTTCTAAGGTTCAGAGCAGATCAACAGGGACTGAGGGTTTCGTGTATGTTTTGGCATAGGGAGTTTGGAGCTTTCAGGCTCGTGCTGTACTGTGCGGTCGACACAGCGAAGCCCCGAATCCACAACCCCCGGTAAACCGAAAGACTTTAAACCGGGTATAAATCGGTTTAGGGTTCGGTACACAGTTGTTTTAGTGCTTGGGCGGCTTGGCGGTTAATAGGTTTTCAGATATAGGTGAAATTGGTATATGCAGAACCCAAGTAGGGTGACAATTTACTGCAAGCCTGGACCCTCAACCCGTATATAAGCCCCAAACCTCTACTCTACCTCTACAGTAAACCCTAAACCCCCGAACCCGAACCCACATGGTGGCCCTATCTACGACCCGGGTTCCCCAAAGTAGGCGCAAAGTGGGCCTGTAGTTCGGCCAAGGTACTTGACGTTGGAGATTTGGGTAAGTGCACTTTTTGGGTTCGAGCCTGGGTACAGGGCTTCTAGAGCTAAAGGAAGTGTTGTGAACGGGCTGAGCTTTCGAGGGTGGGATGGATGTTCAGAAGGCGGAGAGAAAGAAAGATTTGGTGTCGTGTTGTTTCGGACATCTTAGCTCCTCTCAGTCAGCTGCTGCTTATGCTTAGCTTGAGAACGCCAAGACAAGAGCCAGATAGAGCTTCCAGCATTGATTGGGCTGGACTTTGCAGTGCATTGATGCATTTTGCAAGTGTCAGGACGTAGCAAGCTCAATTTACCATCATCATCATCACCGCCAGCCCTTTGAAGAGCCAGGAACAGCGGAAGTTCATGGCGGAGATGCAGATGTTCGATCAGGCAGGAGAGAAGTACCACGTCTTAAAGACCTAAAGATGTCGTGCAGTAAGTCGCCACCGCACACATTCGATGCAGAAACGCATTACACGGACAAATAGTCCCGGCCAAAGACAAGATGCAACAAACACTGAATCCTAAAACCAGTTTCATGTTGCTGTCCCCAGAGCAATTCATGGCAAGAAGACTTCCGGGATTGTTTCCCTTGCACATAAACGGCTTTGACTGCAGCCAAACCAAACTAAAGGTCTGGAGTCATACGTAGTTGCAATTGTGCCTTTGTCCCTGCAAGCTGCAGTTGCCTTTGTGAGCAGCCTTCATCGTTAAACCTACAGCGGTCATACATACGTGCTGCAACCGCCAACCCAGTCCCGAAACCCCTGTAACTCGTTACTAATTCCCACCCTGAAAGCAGCGAGCCATATCTAGCTTCAGTAGCACATAGATGAACCATCCACCGGAGAGCGGTAAATGTGGCAGATGTCGACGAAAACAGAAGTCCATGCCCGCGACGTCTCCTCCACCAATTGGGTCAGCCTTCCGTTCTGGCCAGATGCTCTTACCTGGACATACACCCTGAGCCCTAATGCTTTAATCCTCAGCTGTCCGGTGGTATTTCAAGCACCTACCTGAACGAAGCCGCTGCAAGATCACACATCTTTGAGATCGACCCTGAATCCTCAACCCGAATCCTGCTTCTAGTATCCATCGCAGTTCCTTTTTTGGTTCAGCTAATTCTACATTTTGGATCCTATGCGGTACACCAATAGAGGCACTGCAAGGGAGGCCATATTTTACAGGCTTTCCTAAGTCCCCCAAGGTTCGGGTTTGCCCGGAGACTCCTATCCCTCAGTTAAGGAATATACCTGAAATTATAGTAGGATCCTGAATATGATGTAAGGTACATTCCTTATTTAAGGGATATTGGAGTCTCTGGGTTCCATGGAAGGCGACCGAGATGGTCAACACCAACTTCGGCGTCGGGAGCTTTGGAGATCGGGTGGTTTTGGAGTCTTCAGTAGAAGCCTTGAAGTTGGAAACCCAATAGCCTCAATCCTTAAGAGGAATGTATCGGGAATCCCAGCACTATTTGGCCTTAATCCGTTTTCCAACTTTATGGAGTTTACTGTAGTGTTCTGGAAGTATGTATGATGTAGGGCTGCAGGGCTTAATTTAGGGTTTAGGGTTTGGGGTCCGGTGGGGCCACCTTAGTGTGATTGCACTTCGCGCGACAGTGCTGCAAGATTGGTATGGCTTTTCCTTGGGTCGGAGGCTTTACTCCTCATCACAGATCCAACAAGTTCTGAACCTTTGACACCCTCATTCAGAATGCAACCCCATCCGCCCTAATGTAGGAACCTGATTCAGAAGCCCTGGGTCTATAACCACGAAATAGTAGGCTTCATATAAGGAACCCTAGTAGTGGCCCAAGGTTTCTTAATCAGGTTCCTACATTGTCCTGCATGAGAAGAGTTAACTGTTCAAGATGACGAGAACAAACCCCAGCAGCCACTGACATCAAAGCAAAGGTACTACCGATATTGCCAAGCCCCCTTTGACAGTTTTATTGCAGCACAACCCGTATGAATATCATCATTATGGCATGTAGCTCCCGTATGGAGGGTATAAAGGTAACAATAACCCTTTGACGAGGTCTCAGCGCCTCCATCGAACTGGCAGTCGCCTCCGGCGCATTGGGGCCGACTTCCCAGACCTGCGAGTAATAGGCTCAAAGTGTATAGTATCTTTGGGTTTGGGGTGTAGCATGTAACTCGGGTCAAGCGTGCATCTTTGAGTGTAGGTTTTTGGGCTGGGGAATCGTTCAGTTGAAGGTTACATGTTTTTGTCTGGGTGGCTAGCTCCTGGTTTGCAAAATGTATGCCAGTACATACGCTTCGGTGTCTTCGCTTCGCGGTTGAAGATTTCGGCATCTCCGTGTGCAGAGCGGTTGAGTTAAGTTTTTTCGGTTAGGCTCACACCACCAATAGTTCATGGTAATCCTGGTGAAACATATAATAGACAGACACTTTTTCCATGTTCCTAGTTCCTATTGTACCACTATTAGTGGGCTTGCTTCGTGCATGGTCTGCCTGCGCTCGCACCGGGCAGACAGCCAAAGTCAAAGGGTCGCTCGTACGACGTAGACTGTGTACTTGGAGGGGCAGGGGACTTAGTAAGTAGGCTAGAAGTAGAGGTATAAGTACCCTAAATGGAGTTACCCCAATTATAACCCTACTTATAACCTTCTTACTAAGTCCCGTGCCCCTCCAAGTAGTAGCCAGTAGCTTCTATCGATAGCAACCCCCCTAGCAGTACCCCAGAAAACCTAACTTCTTGGAGTTATTCCCTTTTCGTAAGCCCGTAGCAAGATAGGCCAATTTGGTTTAAGGCGAACCCTGTAC